GGAGAAGCAGTCTGAGGGACTTACTGTATGACTCTTAAAAGAAAAAGGGCACGGCTATGCTATAACTCCACATAGTCTTGAGATGTTTTTTTCTTTAGCCTGTAACAATACCTTACTACTGTTCTGTATTAAATAATAAATTGACAGAAGCAAAATTTCTTACACTTAGAGTAAAGTAAAATTATTCCCACCTATTCCCAAACTACACTTAACCCTATGAAAGAAGAGCATAGCTATACATTGGGGAATATGGCAGCTTAAAGGAATCCATTTTTTTAAATGCCCTAGAGAGGTATTAAGTTGCAATATTTTATTACATGTTCTTGCTTCTTCAGAAGTGCTCCTGCTGTAGATCCCTCCACTGACAGTGAAAATCTGAATGCGGTACTTCTTTCCAGGCGTCAGGTCATCAAACCTGTGCCGACTGTCGTTGGCCAGCTTGGACTTGTTAGCGACCAGGGTGCCCTGCTCAGTGAGGAGCTGCAGGGCGTACCCCTCTGCTGTCCCTCGAGCCGGCTGCCAGCTCACCACCAGGCTGCTCGTGGTGTACTTGTTATCTGCATGCAGAGCCGTCACAGATGCAGGGACTGGAGCAAGACAAAAAAAAAACACAGAACTTTTGTAAAGCGCTTTGCATCCCAGAAACATCCTGAGCATTTCACTTTGTAGAAGAGGATCCACTACACCCAACACTGAAGTACAGTGCACATGGTGACACATGACTGCCCAAGCTCAGGTCAAAAGTGATTATTACTTTAACATTTGAACTGAAGTACTGTAGGTCAACTTGTGTATGTTAGCCAGTTCATTGGGGTTAACGCTTCTACTGTTAAGAACAGTTCCATGGGATCTTTAATGCTAAAATAGTCAGGACTTTGGTATAATGTCTCATCTGAGGAGGCACGTCACTGGTTTGAAAAGCACTGGTTTGGAAATTCAGGTCCAGTGGGATGAGTGCTGCCTACTGTCCCAGCAACAAAACCAAAAAAACAGAAGCAAGCAGGTTTTCATTAGACATCATTCATTCCGGCAATGACAAGGGTCAGCTAGCCTTGCTGCAAATGAGAGTGTCATGAGATAGCTTTCAAGTCCAACTTACAAAACTTTTACTTATTTATTTTTAATGAACTTTTTTTTAAAAGCCACTATAATTTTTACTTTGTTTAAATTGTGCAAAATTGTTTCTACAACAAAATACTCTAGGACATACTATAAACTAGACTAAGACACAGGTATGAGAACTCTGTCTTTAACAAGGTTGTTCATTAAATATGGGTTGCTAAATTAATGACAATGTTACTCTATTAAACACTCATTATTTTAGCATGTGGTAATTAAGGTTTTGACTGAATGGGAATTAAATTAAAGAAACAATCTAATAAAAATACACTCATTTGTATTCAAGCAGAGTTTGAAAAACAGTCTTCAGAAATTGGTCAGGTTTTAAGCAGAGAGTACTCACCAGTGCGCCCAATGGCTGTATTGTTGTTGTGAAAGGAGCCGCTGATAGACTGTACTGTGATGATGTACTGCTGGCCCGCTTGCAGGTTCTGGAAGCTGTGCTCATACACATGCTTGGGGATGGAGGATGTACTCAGCAAGCGGTTCTCCAGGGAGATATACACAGAGTAGCTGTCTACATCCCCTCCGCCAGGTGTCCAGTTGATCTTTAGGCTGTCCGTTTTACCATTGTTGGTGACATGAATGTTCTTCACTTTACTAGGCACTGAAAGGAAGAAATTACAGCATTTCTTAGCTCCCTTCATAAAATCTTATTTTTTAAATAAATAGAGTAATCAGCTGAGGTCAGACCAACCCTGATGTTTTTTACGCCTTTACAACCTGATGGTCATCAACCCCTAGCATTCTACTTTCCCTGTTTATACTGTGTAACCGCAATAGCACGCGCTGGTCCTGTTTGGCCAGGGACAGGTATTAAATCTGCAATGCTTTCTGAGCTAGTCTCTTTTATACTGTGAAGTCGCTCAGTGACTCAATGGTCGCTGGTTCTCAGTTACTCTCGTGAGGAAAGTGAACCCTGACCTACTCCACCGTCTCGGTCTCTGGAGTGTTTCTATGCCGCCCTCTAGTGTTCTACTCAGATAACTACACTCCAGATTCCTGTTCTCCGTTACACTCTGCCTAGTGCTTTAAATTAATTCCAGCGATAAACTATATCTAATTTATCTAAACAGAGATTAACTCCTGTACATAGACCCCTTGCTTCAGTAAATTCACACTTCATAGAGAAAAAAAGCTAAGAAAAAGCCTGAGGACTTTTCCTTTTCAGTTTTGTTGATAGATAAATTCTTATCACTTTTCACATAGGTACTATAATTTGAAAACAAGATGATACAGTAAAGTATCTTTACACTGCATGATTAAACAATGATTGTGCTGTGGTCCCTCACCTGTCCTCCCTTCTATAATTCCTATCTGTTGGAGAGATCCACTAAATGTGGACACAACAATCTTGTAGAGGCGGCCCTGGGTGAGAGAGGTGAAGTTGTACTCCTGTGCGGTGTTGCTAAGGGTGATGGGAGGGAAGACTTTCATGTCATTGAAGAGAAGCTCGATCACGTAATGATCCACATCTCCCAGTGCTCGGGACCAGGTAACACGCAGGAACTCTGTGCTACGGTCTGCCAGAGCCAGATTCTTCACAGCTGCAGGGACTACAGGATTACAGGAACACAGTGGACATATTACTTACAACTTATCCAGCAGAAACCAGAGACACCTCAAGAATGGGGACAATGCAACACTTAGAGGACACTTCTCTGTTAAATCTGTAACTCCATCCCAGCAGATTCAAGTGAGAACTAGTGTTAAAAAGAATTTTAGTGAGAGGCAAGACCAGCTTTTTGTGCCCATGCATTTACAGCAGATAGTGAAGGCCTTTATATATCGTCATATCTTTGGCAACTACGAAACTATTAACTTCTGAAATCTGTTTAAGCGGTAAAAGAGAAAACTATTTGTTTACTGCTACCACCATGCATGGAATGCGAAACAAATCAAAAACACTTTCAAAGATCTGCCATCAGCAAGATCGTTTTAAATCAGAATATTCCTAGATCATAGAGAACACGGTACATGGATGTTGTACATTATAGCACGAGGTTTAAAGAAGTAATGATGAATAGATTAAAAAAATAGTTTTTACTTACATGTTCTACCATCTGTTGATATACTCGTCTCATATTTTCCACTTATAGTACTGACAGTTACAGTGTACAATCTCCCAGGGACCACAGTTTTGAAAACACATTCTGTCTGTGACTTGGGCACAGTCTTATTCTGCTGAAAGTCGTTTTTGTGCTTTATGACTACCCGGTAGTAGTCAAAGTCTCCCTCTGCATCTTGCCAGTACACTCTCAAGTAGCCATCCGTTGCAGTGTGAATGGCTGTAGGCTGCTTAACAGCAGAGGGCTCTGCAAACAGAAAAGTGACTGTGAACAATCATCACATGAACAATCAAACCATTACATGAACAGGTTTTGTAGACATTTTCAGCCCCCCCCCCATCCTCATTTGCAGTACTCAAGCGCAACCAACAGCTGAGTTGATCTACTGATCCTGATACTTATAATGCAAAGCATGGAAGAAGGCGGTGTTGTGAACTTCTCCCACTTGAGGATAGTGAGGGTGGCGTGTGAAGTAGCTCTGCTTGTGGCGCCAGATATTCTTGATGACCTACGTGTCCGCTCCTGCACGACAGTGTGGTTCTCGTACTCTCCGCTGCGCGTGGTGATGGAGATGTTGTAGAGGCGGCCCGACACCAGGGAGTTGAACACCCATTCGTTCCTCTGCTTGGGCAAGACCCGAGTGCCGACGACCTTCTCCCGGTCGCTCAGGCTCGCGACGTAGCTGTCAGCCTCACCAGGGGCCGGCCTCCACGAGACGCTGAGGAAGTCCGACCGGCCGTTGTTGCTGACCGTCACCTCACCCACTGCCGCAGGCACTGGACGGGGATGGGGACAGGGAAAGACAAGGACGTCACGCACAGGGTCTACTAGCACCAATGATAAATACTAACAATGTCAAACAAACGAGATTTCACACTAATAGGACTGGTAACAAAGAAAACATCCACCTTGGAATCTTCACCGAGGCTGCCATCATATAGACACAAATCAATGCTTTCGGAATTCTGAAAGCCGACAGGAGAAGGGGCTTCAACTACAAACTTACAACTGTGATTACAAGGTTTGAGGTGATTTGACAACTTTAAATTGAATCTTATAATGCAAACATCAGCAGTTGAACAGGAAATTCAGCTCTCAAAAAAACTGACAAATTCTTTAACACAATCATGTCTTTTACACAACTTCGATAATGAAGAATCTTGTTTGAGACATTCTTTCTGCTGTTCAAGAAAGAACAAGAGATACTGTATACAGTATGTTTTTTTAAGAACTTTCATGTACAGTATACTAACAGCTGAAATTGCAAACATCCACTGAGAAAACAAAGTACCTCGGAAACAAAACATGCCGTTTGCCTTAAGATCTTCAAAAAAAAGAAAAGGTGGCCATTAAGAGCCAATTTGGGTCTGACAGTCCAGACATTGCAGATATCAGTCTGATCTCTGTCAGAAGCTGACTGTCACCAGTGTTCCTCAAGTTATCCAGAAATTGCCACGTAACAGCAGTCCTCGGTTGGTTCTGTGTGTATGCAGTGCAAATAACAAGGTGGTCTGACAAGTGCTTGTTTCAGGGGACTTGTGGCCATTATATTTATTGTGTAGAAACCTGACCTGAGGTCATTCCTGACCTGTTTTAAACGAATACCTGTTGTACGTAACATATCAGAAACAACCAAAAGGCACAGATAACATTATCAGAAACAGACAATGTGTCACGTGTGTAAATATCTTGTACTGTTCTAATGCATATGCGATGGTCATTGCTAAATACATTTTCAAGGCAATAACAAAGATAAACAGAGCTATACATGGACTATAAAACTATAAAATATATATATATACTTGTCTCAAAGCAGCATGGGGAGTGCACCTTGTACTCTATGTGTCTTCTTTGGTTTTCTCTGGATATGGCCTTTTTTGTCCCAAATTAAAAATAATAGCAAATTTCAAACTCATATTGCTGAACTGTGTTCTGACTTCTTGGATTTCTACCATTGCACCTGTCCCAGCACGAGGGCTACAGCAGTGAACTGAACTGATTAGGAATCAATCAAGAAAATATGGACCAAATCCAAAAATATAGACCAAGATACCTTATGCAATGATATGAAAGGCCTGGCTTGACACGTAAACGTTACTCTTTTAGCTCTCGGTACTCATCATGTAAGATTTTTTAAGGACTTTGGAATAACGAGTAGTTACCATAACTGCAACTAAAGTCCTGTAACAAAGTCCATCAGATGTGGCAGGAAACTGGACAGTCTTCACACCAAGTCTTTATGTACAGTATAACTGCGAATCAGTGATGTCCCACTGTACCTGTCCGTCCGACGGCTACAGTCTGCCGGGATGACAAGCCTCCGCTGACAGTGGTGACAACCACTCTGTACTGGGCTCCAGGCCTGAGGGAGTGGAAGCTGTAGGCCGTGGTGTCCCCAGGCACGCTGTCGTTCTTAATCACAATGCTGTCATGGATGAGGAGCACGCGGTAGGATTCAGTTTCTCCAGCAGCACGTTCCCATGTGGTCTGCAGGCAGTCTGTCTTGCCCTGGTTTCTAACCGTGAGCTGGGTGACTTCTGCTGGAACTACAGGACACAGAAGTATAAGAGCATGCTAGAATACGTCTGCTTCTTAAAACCAAAACCAATTTATAGTATTTAGGGAAGAAAGAAGCATATTTTCTTAATTTAAAAAAGGCCAGGTTGTGTCCCTGAACTGAAATTAAAGTAAGGAAGTAAACATTAGAAGGAAAAATAAACACAAGTCACGTGAGGCACAAAGACAGACACCTAACCTACCAGTCCTTCCATTCACTGAGGTGGAGGTACTCTGTTCCCCACTTCTGGTCGTCACAGTGATGGAGTACTGTCTCCCCGGAACCAGATCATTAAATGTGTACTCCCTCAGGTCCCTTGCGAGTTCCGTTTTCACAACCAGGAGGTCCTCATGTTTCAGCTGGACAACATAGGCATCCCATTCTGAGAACGGGGCAGTCCACAGGATGGTCATAGAGGCCTTGTCTGTGTGCTTAACATGCAGCTGCTGAACTGGCAGGGGAGCTGCAACAGAGGAAGGAGGGGAATAAATTCAGCCCAATTTCATAAAAGTCACTTGGTTCTGTGATTTTTTGGAGACTTGAATTTGCTTTTCATTCTGTGAGAGAGCATGCATTCTGTACTTGCCATTAGGTTGCGTTTCAATTAAAGGTTTTCACAAAGCTTTTAGTATACCATACTCGAGAGAAAACAGTACAGGAAGAAGGGTGAAGGCTCAGAATGGAGTGATGCAATTAATGGAGTACCACAGGGATCTGCCCTGAGGCCACTGCTTTTCCTTACTCATATCAGTGGTCTATATTCAGGTAAAGGTACTGTAGTAAAATAGTCAAGTTTGCAAACAATACCAAAACAGATAATTAGAAAAAACTGTACAGAAATCGCAGACGAAAATCCAAAAGATTTAGATAGGATTCAAGACAAACCCCTGGTAGATGATATTTAATGTAGACAAATAACTGATACACTGAGCTTGAAAAGGCTATTTATGAAAAAGACTTAGGCATTTACTGTATGCTGACACATCATTTATTGCTTTCCGTAGATGGAAAAGGGACAAAATGTTTAGGATTGGATCAAGAGATGATTTCTTAAATTTTTTATTTTATTATTTCCATTGCCTAAGTGCAAGTATGGATATAGACAGATATAATGTTATAAATACAAATGATGTACAGTAATCGCAGCAAGTAATTAGTTTTGTTTTCTCTGATTGTTTATTATTCCAACATTTCAACTCACTGACTTAAATAACATTCTGGTCCATATCCCAAACAGAGCTTCTGAGATTTGGTTCATGTTCCTTTGGGCAGGATGGAGATTGTGTTTTAGTGACTTACACTTTGCTTGGCAAAGTGTACCTTGTGATTGCTCATTTGCTGGGTCAGGGCTGTTAGGGTCTGATTGGAAGGTACAGCCGTGACTTTCTATAAAGGTTCTTTGTAACCACATCTTTGAAGATGTGACTATTATTTATTCAATTAATACAAAGTATTCTTGAAAAAATAAAATGCCACAGATGACAATTTGCTTTTTTTTTTTTTACAAACAATAGAATGTTTTGCACCATACCTGTTCTCCCTTCACATTGGACAGCACTGCTTAGTTGCCCACTCTCTACAATAACTGCAGCCCTGTACAGGCGTCCTGGGATAAGGTCCAGTTTCCTGAAGGTATACTCCTTTGTGTCCTTCTCCACTGTTGTGTTCACGATCGCAACGGAGTTGTTGTAAAGGAGAATGCGGTAATGCTCCCATTCTCCCCTAGGGGGAGCCCATGTCATCCTCAGAACATTCTCCTTACCCCGGCCCTCCATCAGTAACTGAGAGACTTTGCCAGGAACTGAAAAAAATAAAGAGCAGAACCATTCCTACTAGGCTGCATTGCTGGCTTGAATCACAAAAATAACAAAAGTGTATCAAAGCAAAATGTAATCTTTCTCTATTAGAGGTTAAATTACATCACTGCAGATGGTTAGACACTTCCCACAGGAGCACAAGACAATCATATTCTGTGTCCACAAGAAACAGGCTTACCTGTACTACCTGTGGCCTGTGCTTCATTCTGTAATTCCCCACTTTTGGTTCTAACAGACACAGTATACGACAGACCGGGGGTCAAGCTTTTGAAAAGAGCCTCAGAAACACTGGACGCAAGCTGTCTCTCTTCTTGTCGGGAGGACGAACGGGACAGAGTGACAATGTAGGAATCCACATCTCCCACAGCTCTTGTCCACGAGGCCCTTAGGCTGTCCTGGCTGCCGTTGTTCAAGAGTTTCAAATCTAACACTTTAGCTGGGTCTGAGAACAGAAAAGAACAATTTGCCCTTTGCCTCCAGTGACAGCATCAACAAGAAGCTTTGCATTTTTCCCTTTTAATGCCGTCAGTATACACAATCCTCAACAAAACCGTATCATTCTCTAAACCTTCTAGAATCTTACTAATACTTGTGTCAGCAGTGAGAATGTTCAAGGACATTTCCTATAAAGAAATACCGATAAAATTGTCTGAGCTTAAGATTAGCAAAGGTGATAATTTGGAGGGGCAGCTTGAAGTAATTTGATAATTCAGGCCTTAAAAATATAATGCAACTTGACCTATAATATACAGAACCATGAACATTTTGTTTCTCAGTTATAATTATAATTGTGGGAATTAAGATTTCATATCATGAACCCATTGACACCCGAAGCAGGCTCTTTGCTTCTCTTTTCAGCAGGGACTAAACCTGTTACTTGTTCCTTTGCACGATACCATTGATTCTTAAATAAGCAAAAGGGTTTATGTGTACAAATCAAATTCATTTTTTTAGATGCAATGGTGTATGAAGCAGAAAAATATGATTAAGAATCAGTGAATGTGTAACGCTAAGTGGACCACTAGTTTATACAATTAAGGGGGCTGGTAATGATTTGCCAGGATACTCTAGGCTCCTAGTGAATCAGTGAATCAGCCTCCCTGACATCTGCTAGCTGACAGTGATGTCAGCGACGGAAGTGCCTCTCCTCTCCTACCAGTGCTGAATCCCCTGTACGTCACTTCTGAGTTTGTAGCCTTTTAAAATATGAAGTGTTTAATGGATGAGTCAGAGGAGCTTGACTGAGGCTGTGTGAGTATGAGGGTAATCACTGCCACTCAAAGGCACAACTGGCTGTTTCATAAGCATATAACAATAAAGAATAGACTCAAAACTACAAGAAACATTTCTGCTAAATCAATATTGTGTCCGGATGCCTTAGATGTGCTTGGCTGATCCCTTCTGTCTCCCTTTTGCTTCATTTCAAATCGAAGAAACAAAGTGCTTAAAAACAAAGGACTGGGAACATGGGAAACAATAGCATAAACAGAGCCAACCAGGCACAAACGGCCCAACCCATAAAGTGAGGAGGCAGAGAAAAGCAGAAGGAAGAAAATGCCGAAAAGCTAGAGCCAGACTTCGCAGCTCAGCCACTGAGGAAGGGTGGAGGAGCGGCTGAAAATATCTTGGAAACAATTCCAAAGCCCACGGTGTGTGGAAACTAAAACAAAGAGCTGGACATTAAGTTCATTAGGAGACCCCCGAATCCACCAGGGCCTTTGCACCTGCACTCCATTAAACGAAAGCCTAAGCGTCAGGTTAAAAAATTTTCAGAACCCTGCCAGTTTTCCCTGACACAGAATACCGAAGAATTCACAACTCTGCACTGTTAAATAGCTTTTCCGTTAGACACTTCCATTTCATATACTGTATCGACAGGAGTAAGAGAATCTTGTCTGTGCCACATGGTAACAATTTGTGAACACAACTGTTTGTTGTTTTTTTAAAAGCATTTAACAAGTTTCTTTACACAAAAATAACTAGTTAAGACAGGTTATAATGCTACCTGAACAACTCGTTCACATTGTCATGATGTACAGTAGTGGGTGCATTGATCACAGATGATATATAAAATACATTTCAACCCAAATTTCAGGTTGACAGTATATAGAAGCTTTCTTTGCATTCCTCAGTATGTGACAAACACTCAAATCTAGTTAGGGTACTTAGGTCACAAGAAATGATTCAAACAGTACCTGTCCTGGTTGCTTTGGAACTGTAATTTTGTCGTCCTGCAGCCTCTGTAACCACAGTGATGTTGTAGGAGTGCCCTGGGATTAGATTCTGTAGTGAATAGGAGGTAATGCGACTCTCCAGGGTCAGATTTTGAATAAGACTCTTGTGGTCTCTGAGTAGCAGCCTGTACTTAGCCACCTTCCCAGACCCTGGCTGCCAAGACACTGTCAGACTGTCTACGGTCCTGGAGAGCTGTAGGTCACTCACTGCAGAGGGAACTAGACATAAAATAGATAATAAGCCAACAACTTTAAACACTATGACTCACAAGTCATAATGTGCTGTCAGGGTACCCTTCACACCATGTTTGAACTTTATTCTAATACCTTTCGGATGTCCAGATATTATAACAAGCATTAGGTGACTTTTCAAATCCTAAGGTGTGTTGAAGTAAAATGTATTATCAGAGATGGCAAAATCACCCCATAGTTAGCAATTCACAGCTCAAAACCAAAAATTGTATTAACATAAAATTGTTTTTAAATATAAATTCACTTTGAATCCTTTATTGCACATTTGCTTTTCCCAAACTGCGTTGCAAACAATCTTATGTAGTAAACATGACATAAAGGTGTAAAAATGTTTATATCTATGGCTCTATTTAAGTCACCAGTGCAGAGTATTTACAGTATACACAACTGAAAGACATTTTCCACAACAATATAATTATATAAAGGCACAAACTTTGATTTGTTTTAGCTAGATTGACGTGAACTGAAAACAATCCCATATATAAGAAAAAAATAACAACAATGTAACAGAGAAGGGGTCGATTTTGCTTCTTCATAAGCCATGCAATGTTCTGCCTTCCAGACTGCTATTTCCTTAGCTTACAACATTGTTCTTTTTAGTTTTTTCTCTATCTTCTTTATTTCATTGCCATTATTACCTCCCATTTGTTTGCATTTCTTCAACTTTACCAGCAATAGAATAGTCATAGGAAATCATGAAAGACCTTTACCAGCTTATAAGAAGGGAAATCCCTAAAACACTTCTTATTTCAAAGGCAAATTTCAGAACACCTTCTTTAGAAGCACTCAAACGTTAACAATATATAAACCTTTTCTTGATAATATGAGTACTCCCCCCAACTGATTTTAAACCTTAAAAAGATGTAAATTTGGAAATCCATACAAGAGTTAGTGATTTAGAAAGCCAAGTATGGAATTTACTTGTTTAACTTGGGCCATAACCACTACCCAAGCTTCATTTTTCAATGGTACCTCCCGCTTGTTATTTTCTTAGTTGCATCAACTTGTTAGAAATCTTCTGTTTGATCAACTGAAACTCAATGAAGGAAAAATGTACAGATATTCTGCCGACTACAAGAAAGAAGATTCTTTGAGAATATCTTAGTGACAATTTAGATATCTCATTTGCACCTGAGGGAAAGACAGTGGCGAAGTGGTTAGTACTGCTGCCTTGCAGAGCTGAGGCTCGTGAGTTCAGTTCTGGACCTGGCAGGTGATCTGTGTGGAGTTTGTAGTGTATGTTCTCCCTGTGTCCACTTGGGTTTCCTCCAGGTGCTCTTTTTTCCTCCCCCAGTCTTAAACACTAATTGGCTTCTGGGAAAATGGGCTGTGAGGTGTGAGTGTGCTTGTCAGCGTTTTGTGTTTGTGTCTGCCCTGTGATGGACTGGTGTCCCATCCAGGGTGTACCCTGCCCTGTGCCTGTTGCTTGCCAGGATAGGCTCTGGCTCTGAACTGCCGACCCTGAATTGGACGAAGCAGGTCGAATGAGGATGGATGGAAGTTCTACCTGTAGAAGCAGTGGTGAGCACTGGACTTGAGGTCTTGTTTCCTGCTAACGCCACGAGGCTCACACGGTACAGGCTGCCCGGAGCCAGGTCGGAAAAGCTGGTCTGCGTGGCGCCTCCCCCAGCGATACGAACACTCTGGGTGTCTCCCGTGTCTCTGTCTCGTACAGTGACTTCATACCAATCCACCCTGCCAGGAGACGGAGGCCATGACACCTGCAGCCCTGTACTGCTGCTCTTCTCCTGGTGGAATATCAGCCTGGCAGGCTCTTGAGGGTCTAGAAAGGAGAAAAAAATATCATGACCATCAATTAAATATATATATATATGCATCAGAGCAAAAAATGAAATGCAGCGAAGTAACCTCCAAATAGGATGGAGCACATTTTCATAACACGCTAGCTGACAAAATGGTAAAACAACATACGGTTGATATATTTTGATTAGATCAAATTTCTGTGTGTCCACCCAGACACCCAATCTCCATCTGCTTTTCCTGGTGTCACAGCAGGCTTTTGTGCAGCGCTGGCTATACTTTATTATGACTACTGCCGCTTGATCACCGAGCTGTACAGTAACTTGCTTCGTTTTGGACAGCTAGTCATTAAGTGGTAGAACACTTTTAACTTTTAACACTAAAAGTGGCTGCATTGAAATACGCTGGGCGACGCTAACTGATCAGTGTTTCCCAATATGTTTAGTTCCAAGTATGTAGCTGATTCATCACTCCTTGTCAAGGGTTGGAGGAATCGTGTAACCCTGCTGTTGTCATATCAGCAACATCCAACACGGTCATTCGGCTAATTCACTTTCACATCTGTTTGAACTACTTTCCCACCATTCCTTCAAATCTGCCGAACAACCCTGCTAATTGAGGAACAGAGATTCCCAGAGTGATTACAGAACGTATGTCATCAAGAAAACAAATCACAAAAGGAAGAATGGTGAAAGGTAAAAGCAGTGTTTACTTGACTAAAAATCTTATGTAATTATTAAAACACCCAACAGAAAACATTATCATTGCCTGGGCTGAGTTGCAGTTGACTTATTTCATCAGCATTATCACTTCAAGCTGAAGGCCTCTGCAAAGTTCCTCAGCTCTTCACACTCATATCTCTTCTAGAAATGTTTTAATTTAATCTGCCCACCTCCCAGGAGTCCCCTCTTGTAAAAAAAATATTTTAAAAAAATAAAAAAAGGAGTCCCCTCTTGTCTTGTGGTTCCAGTTAAGAATATCTTAACCAATGATTAAGTCTTACTGCATGTACAGTACAGTATTCCACTGTCACGTGAGTTTCTTCACACTTCCAATAAAGTAATAAGAAACTCCTTTGCTCTCTTATCGATTTGTGTTATTTTCTGCACTGTCTTTTCTTTCCAATCACTCATCCTTCCACGCTGTTTCGTAGCTTCTGTATCACCCTTGCTTTCAGAGTTCAGGCAAACCATTTAGTGTTTATGCATCCGTTTTGTACACATCTCTATAAGAACAACAGGGAACACAAATTGTAAAATAGTAGTTCAGGTGGGTAGCTGCGTCAGCATGTGTAGGCGGTAAAAGAACAAGTAATAGGTTTATTCCATGCTGAAAAAAAGAAGAAAGAGAACACAACGTTTCGGTCGTGACCGTCACACCTGAAGAACGCTCCATGGCTGAAACGTTGTGTTCCCTTTCTTCTTTTTTTTCAGCATGGAATAAACCTATATCGTAAAATAGTCTAAAAGGTTATAAAATACATCAAATTCTATATATACGGATAGGGGCAATTTTGTTCGTGAACACAAATGGCCCAAAAGCTGATTACTGTGATTCCAAATCAAGTGGAAGCAGAATATTGTATGCTTTCATGTATAAGATGATTAGGTTGATCTATTATAACTGATTGCTTATTTAAAACACTGCACTACTAATGTTATATGTAAGCAGTTGACTTCTTTACTTTTTATTATGTCTACACATTCTTTATCTCTCTTATTACAATCATAGGCTGCAGTAAGGCTTTTAAGTTCCGTTTTTGTTCTCTTTAGGTATAGGTTACCATTTTGAGTGGTGATGGGTAGGGTGAAGCTGAAGCTGTTTTGTTCTGTTTTTTGATTGCTGATTTGTGAATGTGTAGTATTCATAAAAAAGAAATATAAGAAAACAGCTGTAAATTGGGAATACAGTTTATAGGTATATAAAAATTGGTCAAAAAGATACAACAGGAAAAAAAGAAGAAAAGGAACAGTGAACAGCCAAACTGTTATGGCAATTTCTATAAACTAATTTACCCTATGTTAAAATAACCTATTCCTTTTTCCTTTCTATTCTGTCTTTTTTATAAAAGATCTCAAATGCGATAGAATTGTTTGGCACAAAATACAGGCTTTCTCAGGGAGCTGAGATTTTTGAGTGTGTGCTGAGTAAGTAGGAGCCACGCAGGAAACAGCCCAAGAAAGCAAGACCTTTAGATACCGAGGAGCAGCTGAGCCAGCTCCACTGGTTCGTGCCGGAGAACCTTGAGCCTTTCTTTATGGCTTCCTCCTAAGGCGCCCTACTGTAAAAGACCTTGCTGCTCAAAAGTTCATCAGCTTCCGAAACCCCGCAGCACATGAAAAAGTAAATGACAGCTCAGTTTTCAACACAATGGCGCTGAATACAATTCAAAGCTCCCAATGAGAAGAAACGTACGCCACACAATAAACCGCAAGAGTTTCCCTGAAACAAAAGTTCGTGCGACTTCAGAAATAAGTCTCACGCTAGACGTAAAAAGGAACTTGGTTTCAAAACTCAGAACTCTCCTGATGTAGAGTCTGTAATTCCTAAAGTCCTGTTGCAGTTTCCTTTATGCAATTAATAAGGAATGACAGCCCATCATAAACAGTTTCACACTGCAGCCAGGTGGATTCAATGTTTAGTCAGCAGGGGGCAGACTGTGGAATTCAAACCTGCACCCACTCTTTCTGGGTACTCACCCCAATTTCTCTTTTCAACCAAGAGATAGAAACCTAAGCGCCTGTGAAATCTACCTGGGCATGACCTTATATCACTTAAGGCAGCGTGTCTGTCCAGCTTTGCGTTTTTTACATAATGTTGCTGGAACAGTGAGAATGAATACTACCAGAGACCCTGATTCACCCATGTGTATTTATTTCTGCTAAATCATCCCTTTCTTAAAATGAATACAAATGATCTAGAACATGTGCTGCTTTAATATATGGAAATGTTTTGTTTGCACTATTAAGTTATGGGTGAATTTTCTATATGAGATAACCACTACTGACCTTTTTATTTTGCTGCCTTTTCCTTTTGTTGTTGAAATAAAAAAAAAATCTGATTGTTTTATCATCTTTGCTTTCACAGTTTTGGAAGGTTTCTGCAAGGCTATGTGGTATTTTAATCAAGGTAAAGCATATTTCGTAGTAGCGTCACCTATCATGTATTAATCCAGCCAATACATTTAACTTCAAAGAGGGCATGTTTCATTGGAGTACTGTACGTACCAATGTTTTGGTTGCGTGCTTCGAAGGTAAAGTTCAGAAGTGCACACTTTATCTAATCTATCTGCTCCACAAAACAAAACATTTAGTCCTGCTGCATCCGTTCGTACAAAGGAACAATGAGACTGGGAAATGGCTGGGTAGAGGGAGTTCTGTCTGGAAACAAACACTTAAGATTAGATGCTAGCATTGTTATACACTTCTCCTCTGGACTGTGTCCAGCATCTATCAGACTGTGAAAGGCATACTTCTAACTGCTCTATCAATAACTGCATTACCACTCTATTTCAAAATGGCAATGACTGAAATATAGTTTTACACTGGTTTTGAAAGCGCTGAAGGCAGTTTGTCACACTGAGTGGTCTTTACACCAGCTCACTTTTTTATAAGACAGCTTCAATTAAAGATTAGACAACAGAACAGAAGATGGTATGGGAAGAGAATGTAAAAAAAAACAAGAAGGATAAATGAAAATGGCATATTTTCATGGTATTTTAAAACTTTTTGAACTGCACTTTTTAAAAGTTTTCTGCCATGATAAAAACAATACAGAATATTGATCCAAAGCATTCTGCATTAACTACAGTACATTATTTTGGAATGGTATTATTAAGCAACAGTTAAAACTAGTCCTGGCAGATTCTTGTACTCTTAAAATACTTCAACATTTCAACAAAGCAGTGAACATCACTGACACAATTTCTGTAGTTATCACTGGTCTAAACCATGTCTAGACGTAAGCTGGCTCATTAACTTCATCGTGCCTACAGATTTAGTACAGGTGTCAAAGAGCAAAATGGCTTCTTCCCTTCTTTATACTTCATACTAGCAAACAAGATAAAGCAAATTTACACAAATTTCCCCTGAGAGGCTAACTGCAGGAAACCTGTGAAACAAAGTGATCTACTTTTCAAAGAGCCTAATCACACCTGAGACACAAAATCATCAAGACATCTTCACACACAACTGATGCACTTTGCTGTGTGCCAAGTAACACAAAAAAGGCTGGTTTTTACATATTTGTAAACCCTAAAATCTGGTACCTACAAAGGCAAAAGAGAGCTACTGTATGAGCTACTCTATTTTATGTAAAAGAGTGATGATCTGATTACCTTAGTATTTTCTTTCAAAACAGTACTGTACATTCACTATAATCTGCTATATGACAATGTTTGCTTGTGACTTGTAGGAACACTAGAGCACATACAGTACATGACCTCTTTTTTTGCAGACGTGTCTAAAGGCATACACAAATGTATCGCCAAAGTTCATGCTAACAACTAAAGTTTTAGTTTTAGGCCACTGAAGACAAAAAAACAACATAACTGCTCAAAGAAACTGTGATACACACACATTTACAGTAGCTAAACTGCAAAACCATGACAAGGAGCGCTCCTAATATATATTTTTTATCAAGAATATCAGAAAACAATGCAATACTGCAGGGAATCAAGAATACATCAAATCAAATCCGTAGTACAGCCTAAAGAGTAGCTTATAAAAATATATAATATGAGTACAAAATCATTGATAGTATACTGTATGAAACAGGATTACACAAAATCGTTAACTTCTCAGGTAACAGTAATCATCACAGTTATGACTACCTTATACCCTTCAAGTTTATTCTAATAAACAAACTGTTTTTTTAAATCAATATCCGGAGTAGAAAGCAGTTAAAAGTATAAATACAATAACTAATATTAATTAGTAGCACTAGCCAAATACCGTTAATAACCTAAAAAAGAATACAAATTCAATTTGAAATCTATGATCTGAAATGACACAGTGCATCGCGGCTTTGAAATCATTATTAACTTTACAATAACCCCCAAAGGAAAAGACCGGGCTTACAGTATAACGATTTCAGTTCTTTTCACAGAATACTGTAGTTTCTTTAATTTATACTTCAATAAAAATGCGATGACCATACCATACTTTATATTGTAATAAGGCAAAACCTTCGCGGACTGTTAGAAAAGATGGCAAATAGTTTGCCAATTGTTTAATAAAGATTCAGATATTTTGTTTTAAAAATGTTACGGTTTCCTTTAATTATAAGGGGAAACATCCAACTGCTGTACCAACAAACAAGTTAAAAATTCGTTGTACTTGTATGCTGTACATACTGTACAAATTTACATTTTTTTTAATTAAAAACATGAACCGTTGACTGCTGGAAATAAAATAACGCTGGTATTGTTAATGAAAAGTAAAAAGCAAACGTAACCAAGGAACAAATAGTGTACCCAATACATTAGCACAATTCTGGTAATATTTTAGCTCAAGTAGATAATTATATTCACTTACTGGTTTGAACTGACACGTTGGTCCGCTCTGTGACTGACTGAACTCCCAGGTGGTACAAAGTACCAGGCTCCAATCCCCTAACCTCGCATTCGTAGCTGAAGTCGTATCCCACGTCTCCAATGCAGTCCGAGATTTTTGAATTGTTGTGTGCATAAACAACACTGAAATTGCACGATTCGGCAGAGGATATCCATTTTAGCAAAACAGAGTCGTTGAAAACAGTGGTGTCAGTTAGGTTTACAGTACAGCGCACAGCTTCTGTAGTCCAGTACTGCAACACAAAATGTAAAAAAAAGCTGTTAAACAAACGGAAAAAATAATTATTAAATTAAGAACTTTCTATGGAATTTAGATTATATATTATTCAATAAATAAGTCCTTATTTCAATTCAACCTACCCGTTTTTTTACTATAAAGACTCGTTCAATTATAAAATAATGTAAAAGGCAAAGAGCAGGCTAATCAGACAGGTACAATCATATTTTCCTCACCTGGAGAAAAGTCGATGCTACAAAAAGCAGGCCTATTAGAAAACCAGCTTCACATCTCAGCATTGCGATTTCAGTAGTTTTAAATTATCCTTTACCAGTTCAATAAATAATGATTTTATACCTCGAAACAGCATCTACAGTATAGAATTAATAACTTAACTGTTAAAATATCTCTCTATATAAAATAGATATAAAGACATGTAGTTGAAATTAGTGCAAACTTTTCCCAGGTACGATTAATCCAGTTTCCGATTTTAGACTAATAAAACAAGACAGGACGGTTCTTCAGAAACCGTGTTGGTATCTATAATTGCGGCATTTAACGAGCATGCTGGTGGGCATTTGATAAGTAAATACAGCTCGCAGCCTCCTGCGATTCCCACGCTGCCATTGTGATACAGTTACTCTCTACAGTCTCTTTCATTCACTTCCTCAATCAAGAGTGAATTTCCTCGGCTCTTTCCAAATTATTAATCCAGACCTGGGATCGCCAATTGCGCACCAAGACAACGCCTTCGAATGATAAATTCAGTTTCCATACTCGGAAAAAAAACAGTAATTTTTCTTGAGATCAAGCCGTTTTTTCCCTCCTTCAAAAGTTATTAGAGTTCAGTTCTGTTGTCTAATCTAATTTTGGCATCCAGGTCTTGCCCACAGAGCCCCTCGTCAATTTCTTGTAACGTCTTAATTAAAAAGAACAGCTTTAGACTTTCACTTCTCTAGAAGTCCAATACCTGCAGCCATTCTTCAGCTGCTATTCCAACGCTCTCTCGTATCCCACCCTTCTTTCCTTCCTGTCTCTCACTTTCTCTGGAGACCAATTTCTTTGTCTTCTTTAAGTCATTTTATGCACTCCGAGATACCTCCCGTATTTTCTGTACATGTCTTTAAAGGCATTTAAAATGGTTCCTTTTCCAATCAAAAACTGCCAAAATTCGGACGATTCGGATTCAAAATACGATGTTTTTCTTAGGCAACTCCTCAGCCTTCTAATCATTATTTTTAGTTTAAACATTATTCAGAACTGTTTAGCCTATACTCAGTATAGCAAGGATTATAATGAAGATTTTAAATTAATATTGAATTAAGTTAAATTACTAGTACCTTAAAATTTGCAACACTTCTTTATCGAGAAATAGATATTTAATCAGCAATAGAAACTGTAATGTACTGTATACTGCATAGGTTATCAACAAAGTAGATGTAAAGGTTATTGAACAAGCATGTTTTTTTAGCTGTTGTGGTACTCTTGATAATGGGGTATTAATTATATCACAGAACCCTTGATATCTACACTTTATTTCAACTCATACCTGAAACCTTTAAGTGAATAAATGCAAAAAATATACTTAAAACAACCATTTCAACAGTGTTGAATAAATAAACATGATTATTGCCTTTTGCACCGAAATATACTGTACAGTACAGTAAGTACAGTAAGTCACAAGCTGTTTCCCAAAATATGCTATTTATCACTAAATATATTACTTTAATCTTGTTTCTGTTTTTTTTTTTAAACTGCAATGCTCACACCTGTACTGAACTTGCATTGCACACACCCGGTGTAGAGAATACAGTCAAATGTTTTACACAGAGTGTATTTTAAATAGAAGTAGACCACTATACGGGAAAAAACCCTAAGTTTCTCAACTACAGCTTTATACTTCCTAAGTTTGGAGTTTCACTGAAACAATGATTTGATGAGGTCAGACTGGTCTAACTGAACAAAAAACACAAAACGTTCAGCTCCCCACATCTACCGCTTAAACAATACTGTTTGTGCAAACGAAAGAGACAAATTTAAGCAAAACTTTCTTTAATTTAATCATTTTAGGGTGTATGGGTTAGCTTAACTTGCATTAAATGCAAACGAGACTACAGACTCTGTACTTTGGGTATTGTCTGAACTCCTCATTTTTCAAACATATTTCTTCAAAGGCGTGATCTATAAAAGGAGAACAGAACGGAAGGGAGCCTAGGAGAGGCCGGATGTGCCTAAATAAGAGCCTCTGCTGCTGCTCCCAGATACTTTTTCCAACATTTCCTGACATTTAAAAAAAAAAACTGGACTTGGCTTTTATCAAAAGGAAAACACAACGTACGGAGATGAAAAGTGTTTAACTCACGCAGATCATGACTATCACAGATACAACAGTGTGGCTCAACAAAAGAAGTAAGTACCTTGCCAAAAAATATTACAAAAAGGGAACGAGTATCATGACTGGAGGTACAATTATAATACTGACAGGAGCAGGAGAAAGCACATCCCAGGGAAACACTCCTATCTTTCATGAAATGAAATGCTCACCTACAGATGCAGTTGATATGATGAAGGTTTTTGTTTTGAAAAGTGATAATCAGAATCGCTCTCCCAACAAAGAACTTACTAATCACATCAATTCTGACCACATTTACAGTATAGAGCAGAAGTCATAGCCAATGACGGAAACAGTGTGCAGAAAAAAGGGCAAGTTCAAATACCTCTCTGTAGCTTTCCAACAAATCAAAACCTGTTACAGAACTTTGAGACGATTTTAACTGCTCTACTTTGAAGACAGATCCACTTAATTTAAAAGTATAAAAACTGAATACACTATTATGATATTGTGATGATGCTGTTGGGGTGTTAAGATCAATATTCCGATGTTGAAATATCACATGATCATGCAGAATAGCATATTCATGGCATGAGCATCACCTGTTTCAACTGGCTACAGAAATATTCCAGGATCTTTCTCACATTCAGTCTTCATGCTACACTGTGGTATGACATATATAATAGTATCCAGTAGTTTCCTTTTTAAATAAGTAAATATGAATCTATTAGCAGTCTACAACACATTATCAACAACCAATAATCAATGTACTCATTACTTAGGTTTGAAATATTTTAATTCAAAATAAAATAAAAACACGTATAAACGAGGATGCAATATTATGTTGTCTGTATATATGTTTGCCATAACTAGTTAGTAAGAATTCATAGCTATGCTTGGAATTTTATTCTTGCATAACTTTGGCATACATACATAAGATAGAGAATAATAAAAGTTATGCCATGAGCACTGATAAGCAATTCTTAAGGATCTGTTCTTTGATTGTGTGGATGATACTAGTAATTAGTGTTCTCTGCTATCTAATTAGTTACCCCATCCACCATCAAATATCAGTCTGTACTCACCTGTTCAGTTGTGACAGTGGTGGAGTCAGTTGCTGGCCCAGTAGGTTGTGTTGTAACAGAGGAAGTTGTAGTATGGATAGGTTCAGTTTCAGGACTCATTGTAACAAATCTTTCAGAGGCCACATATGTGACAGTTTGTGTCTCAGTAGAAATCATATTGTTAGGAGGAACAAAAGTCAAACCTGTGGTCAAAACACTGTTTTCAGTTAGATCTGTGCTGGTGACCATCAATGTGGTAGAACTTTGCAATCCTGTACTAGTGGTTGCAGTGAGTGTTATAGCTTTATCTGTATGGAATATATCTGTACTGGGAGCAGCGCTAGACTCTGTAACTGTAGCAGTAATATCAGCTTTCCTTTGGTTTGCAGTTGTGCTCATAATAGTTGCTGCAATGGTGCTATGTACAGGTATTTGGGAATTTGTACTCGTAGTTGTACTGGCCGTACTAGTACTTGTACTAGTTGTACTAGTACTTGAACTAGTTGTACTAGTGCTTGTTGTACTAGTTGTACTAGTACTTGTACTAGTTGTACTAGTACTTGTTGTGCTAGCAGGTGTAGACACAATTGGTGTAGTTCGTTCTGCAGCAAGACCTGAAAAACATAAAAACACTTGTTAAATTGTGTTCTGTTTTTAAGATTGACACAGAAAAGTAAAATACAGTAACTAATTTAATCCAACACCGGCATACTGTATCAATTTAGACAAACCTTCCACGAATACAAAATGCTCAAAGGGTCCACGATTTGCCTTCCACAACAAATTTCTGCAGAGAGAGCTAAGAGACCAAAGACTGCTGATCTGCTAGAACCAATCCTAGGGTCTTTTTGATTACACTTCACCTGAGACCAGCTACTTACAGTAACTGGGCTTTTAATTGTAACTTTTTATTTTTATTTCCTACAAAGCACACACTTGGAATTATGATAACATTTCATAGGTAACCTAAACAAACATCAGAAGACACTGGGATCCCCAGAGCCAAGACAGACACGTTCTGCTGCTCTACTACAGATACTGTACCTGCAAGCATACTGTATGAGCAGAAAAATTCAAACTTAAGGAGATTAGAAAGGGTATCGGAAGTCCATCAGTCTTTACGACCAAGTTCATTACAAGGGCTCAATAATAAGCTGCAATTGGTCCCACCAATGTTGATAACGGTACATCTCATATCTAACCTTATTCCAAATTTTATTTTTTAGTTCATTGTTTTGCATTGCTCTTCATAGAAGTTTTTTTATAAACTAAATATACAGTAAGCTTCCCAAGCTTCTCTACCTGTCTGTGTGTCTGTGTCTCATGGAGAGCAAGCTGGGGTATGTGAAAAGACAAATTCCTTATGCAAAAAATGTATATGGCTAATAAAGTGATCTCTCTCTCTCTCTCTCTCTCTCTATTATGAGGGAAACATACCTGTAGTAGATGAAGCCAGCCCTCCTACATAATACATATCTGAATTGAAACATTATCATGCAACCAATTACCAGAGCCAGCGCCAGTTTGATTCCTTTGGAAGCATTTTATTTTCTTTTGAATACTCATGCAGTTTCTCACAAATAAAATCCTTTAAATGCATTCATATCTGGTATTTCATATCAGAAATGCATCTAGAAACACAGCCTATAAGAGTACTTTTTGCACTTTTTTACTCAGCCAGATATTCTGATGAAAAAGAAGTCAATATGAATCTCTGAAAGTACTTTTAATACAGTGGTTGAAAACTGCCGATAGTTATTGCTGTCCATAGCAGACACTTGAGTTTATCTGATAGGGGCTGGGTTATTCTTGCACAGATAAAGAACAAAGCAGACTCACATGTTTTTGGAGTTTGTTTTTAGCTGTGTTCTACCACCCTTAACCTGGGTGAAACAGTAGCCTTTTCTCTTCAGGAAGATGCTGATTTTTAGATATTTCTCGTGGATTACATGTGTATTGGTGGTGAGGGTGTTGTAAAGTACTGTTACAAAAGTAGATTTTCTTCTGTACAGTATAACAAATACTGTACTACCATCAAGATTTATATACCGTTAGTGGAGTTTAGGCAAAGTACAAAAACGCCACAGGATATGTCAAAAGAATATGAATAAGAAGGCAGAATATGAATATGAGATGAAAATCCATTTTCCAGTATTATGTTGAGGAAAACTTACAGATTTCTACAACTCTATGTCAATTATGCAGAATACAGTCAGCTGTTGAAAAACCCCCCAAATGTTTCATTGTGTTATCAGCATATGAGTCAAAGTGAAAACCATGATGGTGAATAATATCAGCATAAGGCATAGTGGTTCAAATACATAGTCCCATATAAGGACTCATAATTAATTTTAGCCCCAGGAATAGTTTCAATTCTGTAAAGGAAACAGAAACAATAGACAAAAAATGCCATTCACCCCACAACATTTCTCCAAAGTGAAAAAATCCTACATATTGAGAGAAAGCTGTAAACACCAAGAGTGCTAGAGCAGATGGTTCTCCATTTTAACCAGCAATTCTTCAATACTGTAATGGGGTTTAACCAATATAGAGGACAGCCAGTTCAAAACAACCAATTACAAATACTACAAATATTCAGTAGCATCTCTCTCATCATGCTGGTGCCAAGAAAGTTAGAACAAAAAGTACTTGCCACAAAATATACAGGTAATAAAAAGCAAATTCCCTTTGCTTAACAGCACTACTAAATTTCTTGTAAAAAAAAGGTGAGCCTTGTAAATTCAAGACAGAAAAATCCAGAAAAGATCAAATCAAACTATTATAAATCCAGTGTACGCACATCGCTACAGCTACTTAATATTTGGTTGTTATGGTGAGCTGTTATTTAATCTGACTTTATGACATAAAATATTTATATTGCACTGAAAAGAGCAATCTATTGCAAAATATACAAATACTGTTTATCAAGGCCCAGAACTATTATCCAAAGGCAAATTTTTCTCACAAGTTAGCTAGAACTGTGGTTTAACACAGCCTTTACACCTAAGTCAGCTGAATAGTGGGGTATACTTCAGATGGTTTTACAGCATTGTTATACAGCAGGTAATGAAGAGAAATCAAACTGGACAAAATTAATAAACTCCCAGAGAATGTTTTGTCAATAACAGTCCAACAAAACTTTCAAAACCACAACCTTTTCAGGATGAAGCAAGTATGAGGATATGTTTGACAAACACTAAATTGTAGTTGCATGATTTAAAAACAGAATCTCTGTTTTGCATTTTTTAGACATAACAGTCCCAATGAGGTTTTACAATTAAATCCAAACTAATTACTGTATGTTGCAGAGCATGTGTGCAAACAGAATTCTGCAGGATCTAACCAAGGGATTTTTCTGACACCCTCTACTGTTTGCAAACAAACAGTATCTACTGTTTGCATCCTTCACTGATGTTTCATGCACAGTATGCCTCCCTGATTTAAAAGATTCAATCATTTTGTAAAGCTAGGAACAAAACGTCTTTTGAAACCGTACTTTAGAAGCTAAATAAATGAAGGAAATCCAGGAATTTATTTGAATTAAAAACACATACTTGGCATAACCCACAAAACAATAATCCTGATGGATGCTTCAGAACCTGCTGCTCTTTAAAATGAAATAAAAAAGTAAAGCAATGGCATCATATTGTATAGAATGTACAAAATACAACTAGGTGTTTGTTTTAATTTCTCAATAAAGATGTCTGAGCCAGAAGTGTCTCTCCTGGGGAAAAAATTAAGTTAGTATCACCAGCTTGAGTTCCTCTGCACCTCTACACCAGTTCTATACTTCATCTGAAAATGGGTACAACTAGGAAATGGTTACCCTTTTTTCTACCATTACAAGGTATACTGTATGACTAAAAGGTGTATTTGACGATTCAAAGTGAATAAGGCACATCGGGTATCTCAATCTAATTGTTCTGAGAGGAGTTTAGATGTGAAGAAGTCAAAATAAGACGGTCACCTCTCATAGAGGTCTGATTAGTGATTAGAACGGTAGAATGCAGGACTTTGCATTACTTATCACAGACAGGGTGGATGAACTTGTCGGCCATGGTCTCAGTACTGCCAAATTTGCCAGGAAGAGGAGAGATTGCTTACGAAATTCCTGTGCCTGTGTTTGGGTCGGTCAAATCCCTAAGCACAATGTGCAGGGAAATGGGTATCAAAAGTAATATCCTTTACTTTCATTTAGACCAACTTTAAAAAAAAAAAGCCAAGCCACTGAAAGATTTTAGAATATTCACTATCACACGGTACTTGCCGTAATCACAATTCCCTTTCCCCTTGTTACCGAAAATGAAACAAATCATTTTCACAGATGTTCAGGCGCATCCCGCTGATGGAAGGCGGGTAACCACAGTACTTCTCTCATTTTGGCAAGTTTTCAGAACGCGTAGTTTTTCGTGCCTGGTAAGTCACAAGCGCGACATTTACTGTATATTGCACCAACAGCAATCGCCTTCAACGATGTTGCATGTTTAACCTTAAAGATTTAAATGTTCACTTCTTCGCTGCCCACTCTCACCGCCGCTGCCAGTGCATAAGAAATGAAACCTCTCACCTTTCTTTGCACATAGACTTCCCGTGATTACTTTCCTTCCAGATTCGACCTCGTACTTAGTCCAGTTAGAATACCTCTGTTCTCCCCTGAGGACCACTCGCAGGCCCTGTTTCTTGAGGAACAGCGGACGGTCGATGACCCCGAAAGTCCCATTGTCGTCGTAGCACTTCCAGCCAGGTGCGCTGGAACATCTGCCAATGGCGGCTAGGCGTGCGTGACGAGGAAGATCGCTACTCAAGTTGAACCACAAGCACAAGGAGGACTGAAGGTGGAGAAGTTTCAAGTCGTTTGTCCACGTCCACTGTTGATAGGGACTGGTCATGTTGCACTGGACAAGGACTACAGCCTTGTTAAGTGTCGAGAGACATAGCCTTTTTGACGTGTGGGCAATTAGGAACTCTTCTACAAATAAAAAACGTAATTACTAATAGTAATAATAATTCTATTAATAATTCACGACTTATATAAGGTTGCACAATAATAGCAGAAGAATTCGACGCATTTGCACAGCCCCCTTTCATGAAGAACTATAAATTACTAACATTTTACATTAACATTTTAATATAATAAATTATTATGACTGATCTGCGTAACTGCATTAATAAGATAATATTTACGTTAGGTAACAAGTGTACGACTTAAAAGTTACATTGTTTAACTTAATGGGAAGTTTTACTATTACGATGGTAAAAAAAATCAAGGTACTGTATACTATGTATATACTGTACTGTATTAAAGTGTTCAGCAATTTCAGCATACTGCACATCATCCAAAATCATTTCATAAGCATAAACCACTTTAATTCGTATGTTTCACCTTCATCAAGTTCGGTGTTATTTTTGTTTCAGTATACAGTATGTCTTTCCAAAGCAGTTAGTAGGATTATTCGTGTAAAAACAATACACGTTTATACATTATACACATTTATAGCTGTAAAACAGTAACTAATTCCCATCTTGAGGAAAATTATAAAGAAAAAAAACAAACCCAAATATAAGAATAATACAGCACCTGCGTTTCAGAAAACATATAGGCTACTAATAACAACCGTTGGATCTATTCTGAAATAATGATGTTATCATGATACCAAGACAATGTTAAGCGTACGTTGTTAGCATAACATACAACACCATTGTAAACAAAGATGCATAAATTTAAAATCGATTTATGTAAATCAGCAGACACCCAGCAGCGTAATTAGACATTTTAATGTTTGTTTTAATAAGAAATAACATAAACATAATCAAGTATGTTGGCCCAATTTCATTGCCATTGTGTAAAGATGAAAACCAGGATAGGTTTCCGTTAGGATTTGGCAAACTCTAATCAACCATCAAAGCACGTTTTCGAAACCAGCTCCAGGTTGAAAACTACAGGATTAGAAAGGACACAGCAAAGCGCATTACTTACCTGTCCTAGTAAAAGTCAGGCAAAATAATATCGCAGTCAAAAACAAGGTATCCATTTTACTTGTACTACAGTTTCACGCTTCCACTAAATTACGATGAGCAAAGTTAAGGCTTGAAGAGGAAATGCGCCTTCAGGGGAAAAAGTCAATGACGAGCACTTCCTTCTATTCAATTGTTTTAGGAGTTTCATAGTATAATATCATTTAGTGGGACTCATCAAAATGGAAGTACTATCTTTTCGGAAATAGAAAAGTACATTGCAGCTGCAATACTGTATCTCTTAACACCAGTTACTACCATATTTGTGGTGTGCAGGGCGTTAAAGTTAGCAATGGCAATTTACTTTAATGACATGTTTACGCCACCATCGTGATAGCAGGCAGGTAATTTAGAATCTGCTGAGTTACTGTGATCCTGTGAGCGTTACGATATACCACTTAAACCGCAGTGATGGTGCAGCAGGCACAGCAATATCCAAACTAAGTGTACTTTTAGTTTATGTCTGTTATGCATAAAACTCCAGAAAAGTTTGTATCCATCGCAGTTTATACCTACATACATTTGTACCCGATTCAATGTAATTTTACACTGTACATACAGTAATAACAATATTAAAGGGCAGTAAGGAAACTGGATAGTGTCTTCATTACAGTTAGCCCTTGAAAACTGAACAAAAATACATTTATATGTGCATTTCTGCAAGACATTGCTTAAGGTAGGGAAGAATTCTAAAAAAGAAGCATAGTGCACTACGGAAACAGAAACATGAGACTTGATCTTTTAAAATAATATAGGTTTATTGGCAGTATAGAATATAAAGTCAACATCAATAGTTAACAATACAGAGCCTGTACAGCCTTAGACTGCTCACTCTATCCCAGGAAACAAATATTCCCACAAGACACTCTAACCTGAGGACTCTGTGACTTCCTTTTTAAAGAATATATGTGTAACACTTATTTGAAAGCTGTGTGGCATGGCTTGTTTCACAGACAATATAACCTTGGTCTCACCTGACCATAAAGCTTCAACAGAGCCCACTCTACACCCTCCATAAGAGGAAGGCTTGTTAAAGTGTTTTACAGTAGCTGAAAAGGAGAAGATGATAAATGTTTTATTAAAGCATGGTATCAGAAAGAACTTTCAAATCAAGTGTAATATACTTCATTAAAGATAAAGACCATGTCTGTTGGGCCTAGAAGTGTACAGCGAAGTCAGAAAGTCAACACAATACAAAATGTGTTTGAAATGGTTTAAACCGGACCAATCCACCCAAAAGCAGTTCGCCCTGGATTTAAAAAATAACATCCCATGGTGTTTAAACTTGTCTTCAATGCAGCGCCTCATATTACACATGCATATGAGTACACAAAAAGCTCTAGACATTCAGAGCAAGTACTGTATCTTAACCTGGGAATCAGCATACATTTTTATAGCAGAGAGGTTGGATCAAAGAAAAGTGTAATAAAAAAAAATCCCAGCTCAGCAGAGGAAAACAAACTTTAAGATTGTAAAAAATATTTATGTACTGTACAATGTTACTGTACAGTATCTAGTGTTGACTGGATATATAATTTTCACAGTATCGATATTGCTACAAACATTAAGCCATGAATTGTACTGTTACTGGAGACTACCATCTTAACTACCATTACACAAATAACTTATAAATACAGGTTTCTACAGAAATGTCTCAATTCTGTATAAAAAACAATAAGCTTCTTTAAACATTCCAACAGAAACACTTAAACATTTTCATAAGGGTAAGAATATTTCAAAAACCTATTATGCATCTTACGGAGATTGATCATAAATTTGGTAGAAACAAATTATACTTTATAATATGGAAATGAGATTAAGGCATTTCTGACCTACAGTACCTGGATCAGATAACCACAAAATAATAAAGCAAATCTACACAGATGTAATTTGAAATGAAATTAAAAAATGTTTCTGTTGGTGAAATATATAACAGTTTATACACTCCCAAAATAAATCATACTTGTATTAAGGAAAATGGCATTGTGAGTGTTTTAAGGACTTCTTATCATTTAATGAAATTAAGCTCACAAATCTTACACATTTTGCTTTGTTCTGCTATTTTCACTTATTGTTTCTCCATTATATACAGGAACACAATTCAATGACAACTTTTAACTGACATTTTAGCTATTTTGTTTAAAATTAATAGTTAATCTTGATACATCAGTATTTTGTAGCTCTGAATGTAGATCCACAAATATGTACAGTATAAGAAACAACCTGACAATGATTCAACTAGATCTGACTGGTGATTGTGACTGAAATTAGTTGAATGGTAAATATACTGTAGTAACCACTATGACATTTCATATTGACAGTTCATGACGGCCCTAATTTGCTTTGAACTGGTGTGATCAAGAATTTAGAGAATCTGATCAATGTGGTCAATGTGAAGTAATGATTGAAAAAATGACAAGTTAGGCTTTTATTTATCCTAGACTAGACTGGATTAACAGTTATAATAGTAGAAAACATTAGTGAAAGCCTTGAACAAATTGTTCACAAAAAACGTTGTTGATAAGATACAGATTTTGGAACTCCAGACTGTGCTTAAGATGCCTTAAGTCTTTTGCAAAGTAGTGTACATTGTTAAGACTTTTAATATAGGATAATTAAATGAACCATTTTTTTACACCTTATAAAATGAGTTGAACTGTCTTGAGGTGATGTTCAAATAGATTCTGATTACAATGTTTTTTTTTTTATGTGCCAGATAGATAAATCAAAACCAGAGCTATTAATGAATAGTATATTATACTGTAACAAACTTCCCAGGAACTGAGACTTCTTGCAAATTGGCTTACAGTTTGATACCCCTATTTTTTAATGGTATCACCAATTTGCCCTGTTTCTCCTTGTGGCTAAAATCTCTAATCCACAGTAAATGAGCTGCAGATGGAAAATTAGTCTAGACTCCTACCAGTCACATCACCATAGAGTAATAGACACTGTAAGAAAGTCCACTACTGAGTTACTGCTGAAGTGTTACAAGACTGGTCTTTGCCTTGTGTTAAAGGCAGTGAATAGAGAATAAACTGGCTCATTTGGTCTCAAGACAAAAGCGTTCTTGGTGTGATTAAGAAACCAAAGGCACGAGGACCTGAATGACAAGACGTGTCCATCAATCACTTAAGTGTTGTGTCTGCGTTTCATAAAGCCACCCTACTGTAATTAGTGTCCATCGTTTCAAATTCATCTTTAACAATGAAAGTGGACCTACAGTACCAGAAGAGCAGCTACTGTCATTCCATGTCAGTGTCTATGACCTAAATTTCTCCTTACGCCACCTTTCGTAATCACTTCTTATTTCACGTTCTTTGTGTTCCGACTCACAAAGTATTTATTTTTTATTAATTGGCAATGCAGATGAAGTACAAGCCAGCCCCAGCAACCTTTAAATAAGGTGTTAATGAATAATGTAGTCATTCAGTTTAGCAGCTCTGTTACTCTCTTACATACAATTTGTGGCATACATATGTTCAGTATATAGTTTTATGTATATAAATGGGTATATATTAGGTAGTTAACATATCACAACATTCATCTTGATTAATATATATATATATTGAACAGCTCATCATATGGCTTATATAGCCATCAGACCACATAGTGGATAATTTCTACAAACAGTAAACAATATACACTGACATTTTGGATTTTTACACAATAAGTAATGGGCATTGTGCATTGTACCTGCTACATACTGTAGATCTACTATAAATAGACAAATATATATTTTTAAAACCTTTGTATCACAAACAATAATTAAAAAAATCATTACATACAAAAAAGTTTCTAAATGTTTTCATAGTCAAACAGATATCTTTTTTTTCCCCTAAAATTTTAAACACTTGCAGTTTCAGCAGCAAGATGTTATGTGGTCAAAAGATATGCCAGCCACATAATTTATAATAGCACTTTAACATTTACATTGTTTTCACATGTATATAAAGTAAAGCAGTTGGGTAACATTTACATACTGTACTGAACCCCAAATTCTCAACAACAACAAAAAAAATCCTCTGCATAAAACTGACTTTAGTGAAATAACATGTAAATATCACATTTTTATAAATACGATACAAATTCATATCAGGTAAAGTCTGAAAATCTCAAAATATTAATTATAGCTGTTACCAGTAGTAGAAGTATTTGGGAGCAAAGCACACCAGCATCCATTACTTGCATTTGTTCCCTATTAGTTGTTTAATTCTACATAATCAAAAATCCTCACTTACATTTCTTAACCATCCAGTTTGGCTGATGCATATTTTAATATGTCATTATCTGAAAAAAAGGCGCTTTGAAAAGGATCTGGTGTTGAAAGGGACTGTACTGCAGCACTGAAGGATGGACTAATCTTAGTGAAGCTCTGCTGCTGGGAACAGAACTTGACTGATAATTGATCAGGATAGCAGCAGTACGCTGGCACTGTGGATGGATCAATGAATCAGGCTTCGATTACCTTGTATATGTGTTCCATGGTTCAAAAAGATGTGAAGCATTCTTGTACCAACAATCATCTTTTAATCCAACAATTTGCCCATTCTGATTCATAATTGGAATTCATTAAGTGGAAGTATACTGTAAATCATTGATGATTAAGTGAATGTGAAATAAGCAAAAACCCACCGAATACGAATGAGCTCAAAGGTTATTAGCAATGTTAATGACAGCACTTTATAGCACAGAAAATTTCAGACTGTTTCTTGGAGGCTATGGTTAGGGTTAGACAGCTTTTGCAGTCTGAGATCTATGAACCAGTGTGTAGTCTACAGGAGCAGTGCTACCCCAGGGACAGTTTTGCCTACTGTTTAAAGTGTAAAACAGTTAAAATATACTTTCTGTCTAATAAATATACTGTTTTTCTGTTTTACATATACTGTTTGTCTACTATATTTTCTTAATGTACCATACAGTACATACAGGAATGTATGTGAACAGCTATTAATCTGCATAAAGATCTGTGGACTTTAGTCTTAAAGTTGGATTAAATTATTGCTCTTTCCTCTTGTTACTGTGAGCATATTTGGAAAAAATAGAAAAGTGTGGGGTACAGTACAGATATTAAATGAAGAGGATACAATACGCTGTACAATAACTGATTAATGCAAATGTAACAGTAGTTTTCTGTTTGATGATCAACAAGTGATTATGTATTTTCCAAATTCTGATGTTTACAAACTTAAATATACCTAAAAAAAATAATATTATGCATTGATATGCTAGCACTTGCTTTAACGAATGAACTGATTTTAACAGAACAAATACTTTAAACAGAAACCTCCTTTAATTGTAGCCCCAATAAATTTACTGTTTGATCTTTGACATGGTCAGGATGTTGTAAAGATACGGTGAACAGCCCTTTAAAATTTGTAGTGATTTAACCCTGACAAACGGCTATATTAAACAGGCCATTATTAGGAAAAGTGTGTAAAACTGATTTGTAAATGTACCAATGTTGTGAGTGGCTTAACTACAAGACAAGGCTATCAAAGCCACCACCTTAAGCATAATAGGATTCAGTAATAAATATAAGCATTAAATGGCAAAGGAGCTTCTTTGGGAAACATTTCAAGCATCCTTCACATACCAAAAAGCCACAAGTAATACATGCCATATGTTCTAAAATATGTAGGCAGGATAGCTTGTTGTTGTCCATGTAGTTCATATTTTGGTAAAAGTTATTTTTGTAGCTTTCTGTGTAATTGGCAGAAAAACAGGACAGCAAAATGAAAAAAAAAGTGTATTGAGTTGAAACAGAATTCCATGTTACCTGGACCTTCATATTTTTTATCTGTCCATTTCTGGTTAACACCACTCTCCCCTACCTCTGTATTAACAATAATCATAGAACAAATTAACCAGAAAACCTATGAGTAATTCATAACCTGACTTGGTTTAAGCCTCCTGCTGCAGATGTGTCTGCTGGGACGGTTTGGCTCACAAATACTTCAACCACGTCGAGTAGAGTATAACAGTCTTTTGAATTGTAACTTCTGTCAGTGTGATCTCCCATTTTGCAAGCATTTAACTGATTCCCATTTTCTTTCAACTTACTATTTTATCAAAATCAAATAAGTAAAACTGGCTGTAGATACCAAATCCATTAGCATCAAGAACAGCCATTAGTTACTTATGCAGAAGCTGGATACTACTGGCAGAAGTCAAGAGTTGTTGGGTACTACTGGTACAACCATACTGTAAGAATACACTTAAACCTGCAGCACTGCAATGGCAATGAGATGGAATGCATAAATTCTTATAAGAAAAGCTTTTTTGAGGCAGATAAAAGAAAAGAGAATATACTACATTCATTAACGGACACTCATCTTTCCAGGTTACCTGCCATCCTAACTTGTGCCACACAAGTTCATCTTAGAGAAACGCAACTGGATCGCACTCCTTGCGTGAGATGCTGCCAGTAGGTAATACAATTACCTTTCAACTCTTCCTCCAAATAAACGAAGACTTGGCAAAACAGCACAACAAATTATCACTGGCCAGCGTCGGTGGAGAGCCTGCTTTCGTAGAGACTCAAGGCATGGTGCACAAACTCGTACTGTTCACCTGTCTGGATCATGCCTCCTCTACACATGGAGAAGAAACAAAATGACAAAAAAGTCTCAGCATAATCAAAGCTAGGGGGAAGTACACATTATGCTCAAATGTTCTCTAGACATGTTTTACCACATTTATCCACAGTATTTCTTTGTCTTCTGCATCTTCTGCAAACTACATCTACTACTGTTTGCAGCTACATTCGCACATAGAGTTACACTTACTGTACAGTACACTGGCTATAGCAATGCTTTTCTTAAGCATGGATGAAAAAATAAACCAGAAAAGGAAATGCTTTACAACAGCCCACCACATACAGGTACATATCACATACTGTATTTCAACCACAGACCACAAGTATACATTCCATCATATACACATATACTTTATGTAGTAATCAAAGATAAAGATGTCGAGGAACTTGAAAGCATGATTAGTAGACGTGGGAACGGAACAGAATAATTGCAGCAGACTGGTGCAAATGGATTTATATAGGGGTAAAGCAAATATGAAGTATTGGCTTGTTATTATGAATTGTTACTTACTGACAATTACCCTAAAATACACTGCAGCATGACACTGTATTATAAAAGACAAACCACTTGTCCATGGCTACTTGCTTTGGCATTACATGTGCAAAAAGACCTGTTTTCTATAGAGCTGTGTTACAAAAAGTTAAGAGTGAATTAATGGTCTGTTCTTTCTTAGCCATGATTTTGCTCTTAACAGTCATGACCCGGGACAGTTTGTAAAGACTAATTATACTTATAATGTGGCCTGCAGAGATCTCATCCTGCTTAGTTTTACTTCTTTCCTGTTCTTCTCTGCTAACGGTAGCCCCTCCCAGGGACTGAGCACTAAATCATATTCAGACTGTGGAACACAATCTCTGACATCCTGTCTGCACAGACCAAAGGGGTCCTAACAGTGTTCCCAGCCCTCCACCCTTTAACATCATCACGCCTCTCTTTGCACAAGCACAGGAAAGTGCTTTTGACCACCACTGAGTATATGCACAACACTCAGACCAACACGTTAGTAAGGAATCCCTATTTTTCTGTGTTGCTCCTGCAGTTATTATTAAAACTGGAGAAAACAAAAAGTAAGATGTATTAAAATGTTGGGAAGAAGTTTTTAATGTCCTATTGCATAACGCAGAGGAAGACAAAGTAAAAAAAATGTTTTCTGAGAATCAGCTGCTTCTATGTTTTCTGTGGTTCTTGCCGTTAAATTTAAATAATGAAGAAATTAAGGTATACAATAGTGTCCTGTCCATGAAAACAAATAAAACGATGTACCCATGTACTTCTTATATCTCTCCTCAACTTCAGTGTGGCATTCCAGTATCACATCTGTGGTGGAATATACTGTATTTTCCCCAAAATCCAAAATGGCGGAGCCCCTGTGCCTACCTGTCAGCCCGAAGCTGGCACACAATGCCAAGCACATCAACCACCCCTTCTTCTTGAAGCTGGCGGCACCCGATCGTCGTGGCAATGAAACACCCAGTCCTGCCAATCCCGGCACTGCAGACACAGAGCAGTGTGAACAGAGGTGAAAGGCTAGACTTGGAATCAGAGGACATCCTGCGATTATCAGGCCTTCTGCCTAAGAAATGAAAAGTGGTGCTCCAATTGTTCTAGCAATGCTAATTGTGTGAATCTGTGAAGGCTCTAAATGATTTGCAGCTTATTCCTATGCTGTTTTTTTTTTGTTTTGGAACATAGTGTAACAGTGATGCCACATATTATGAAGACCACATCGCTGGAGAGGAGTACGCTTTGAAGTGCAAAGGCAAATGTAATCACCTATAGCATTTTGTTTATATTCTTCACCAGCCTTAGATGAACTTAACCTGGATTCTGTGGCATGAAGCTAACAGAAGACAGAAGATTCTCCCTGGGTGGGGGGGCTTGTTTACTGACAGTGGATGCTGGTACAGCTGGATGACCAGGAGCAAGTGGGATAAAGCACCAAGGTCACGGAAATAAGAGTAATGTCCACCCTGGACAGCTGAACCCAAGCTGAACACTGTCCCTTAAAGCAGATATCAGGTGGTTCAATGCTGTGCAGAACCCAAACAATATACAACAATTTTACATTTCAAGTTCAGAACGGTTCCATTCTAAGGATTAAACAGGGAACACTAACTCTTCAGCCCTATAATAAGCCCTGTTTTATTTTAACTTAAATACGAGTATATGGGGAAAATTTTCAGTCCCTTGAGTTCAAGCCGCCTATAACACTTCCCCAGTCCCCACCTGCAGTGAACTATGACTGGTCCCCTGGAGCCCGATACCCGGCGATCCTCCTCCACCTCTGTCATGAGCTGCAGCAGCGGCTGGGTGCTATCGGGGGTCTTGTGGTCTGGCCAGGACGTGTACCAGTAGTGCTTCACATTATGAGACTGGCCTCCTTGCTGTAATAACCAGAGCAAAAAAAAAAAAAGGAAGCCCTTTGGAAGAGGAGTATAAAACGCTATTTCATAGAGTGCAGGCAGTCTCCCTCAAACTCAGCAGATTCTGATTTTCAGCTCGAGAGAGCACACACATCGGTCAACAAGAGACATTAAACAGCCTAAATGCACATTCCAATATACTAAACATGAATGGTACCACAATATCAGTGTCATTTTTACACTCAGGTGTTTACTGCTGTGTAGCTTTAAGGCTTTTTTTTTGTCATCAGGAAGCTGCTTATTTCTTGTAAGGATAATGACAACCATCAGCCTATCCCAGAAGCACTAGGCACAAGACAGGATGCCAGACAAACCAAACAGTTCATGTACCCTTAAAGTGAGTGCAGGCTCACTTCAAAGAAACTGATTAACCGAGACAACATATCTCTGGAAGGTAGTGAGAAACCAGAACACCCACATGGACAGACCATGCAAACTCCATATAGAAGGTGCCACAGATAGGATTTAAAGCCAGGACCCAGGACTACAGCACCTGGTAACACTGTGGGTTTCATATTTGTACAGAATGCATAATACGATGAGAGCTTCCCTTGTTTTTATGAATAAGCTTGACAAAATAATAAAAAACATAATGAAAAACAAACACAAAGAAGTACACTTAGAAAGAATAGGCTCATTATGGAGTTTTTAAGCCAGCAGAAATCTATGACTGCTCTGTCACAATGTTTTTTCTCTGTTTTTTCTTATAGCAAAATGCAACCCAGTCGCATGTCTTTCAATAAGAAAGTAAAATAACAAATACAATATGATAAGTTTGATCCAGGAGGAACTGAATCTTCCACCTAGCCTTGTAAAGTAGATTTTGTATGTGCTGGCTGAGCTGCCACCAAAAGTCATTGTCCTAAAGAATGATAGTAATTATCACAATTACCAGACTCTCTATTACTATATACTGTATGGTATGGACATACTGTATATTTTAAACACACTGGCAATTGCCTTGTTCAAAACAAACCATCACCTATGAGAAAAGACTTATATTATTGTAAAGAGAACAATAAGGGAATATAGGTGCTGTGTAAAACAAAGGCAACTTTACATTGTTAAGAAGGCAGAGCTGACAGTCATTGCTGTTCTCCAAACACCTACATGACATCTACTATTACATTATTATTTACAGTACATTACATTTACTATCTACTTTTTTAAGATCACTTTACTGGCCATACTGTATACTGTCCAATTTCTTGTATTAGGAATTTGTCTTTTCACAGACCCCAACTTGCTCTCCATGAGACACACAGACAGGGAGAGAAGCCTGGGGTCAGAGCACAGGGTCAGCCATTTATACGGCGCCCCTGGAGCAGTTGGGGTTAAGGGCCTTGCTCGGGGGCCGAACGGAGAAAGATTCCTCTGACAGCCGCAGGATTCGAACCGGCAACCTTCCAGCCACAGGTGCAGATTCTTAGGCGCAGAGCCACTGCATCGCCCTCAGTTCTGATTTACAATGTGTAACAGCCAAAGAAAAGAAAAGCAATCTAATTTCAAGTACCTTGCCATTTAAGAAAATGTACTGGACAGTATGCAGTATGTTCTAGAAATTTACTTTGCTAGACAACAAGCAAAATATTTATGTGCGGCAGACACTTTCAGTCCCTTTTTTTTCCTTAGACAGCATACTTGTGGCTCACTCAGTCTGCAGTGACTTCAAGACAGTCTTGTTTTTCTTTGGTTCATTCAATCTTTTAAAGCATTTCCTTCTATTTCACATATTTTAATAATGTTGTAAAGTCAGAGAAGATGATGCAGGGATTAAACACATCTGTTACAATACAAAGCTTCTGTGCTTATTTGGCCACATCTGATAAGAAGCTGTGTTTTTAACTATCGAGGAAACAGCGCTGTCCTCACAACGCAGTGACAGCAACAACAGCTGGATTAATAGGCATCCATAGTGTTCTTTATTTCCTTTCATTTTGCCTCTAATACCGTCTCCAGCACACCCAGAATAAAGTTCCAACCACACGCATTTGTTTCGCTTGAGCTGTGACCATTTAATGTTCGAATCTTAACTGTAGTTCTCAGCAAACTTGGCACTGAACTCGCGGTTACCTTCAGAGTCAGGCTGCGGATGGTGTAATGGTCGCAATCCTTGACACCATTCACAAGAACCTCCACCTTCCCATATATGCCTCGTTTCTCTGGCCAGTAGAGCACACATTTCTAGGAAAGAAAAGAAAATGAGGTTACCGTCTCTGCCTTTCATACCTCGAGCTCTGGCTCCTGGCCTCATCATACCATGGGCAAACCCACTCTTTTGTGCAGGATTCCCATTATTTTTTAACACAGTGCTTTCCAGAACCAATTTAAAGCATTTTTTTTCTAAAAAGGCTTTAACACAATATCTTAAAGTGTTTCTTCCTTTTCTGTGTTTTCAGAATGTGACCATCAATCTGGTTAAATAAAGCTTGACTATCCAAAAAACCGACAAGACTATACAAGAACAGGCAAAAACTGCTTTGAGCTTTATAACGCACTTCATAAATGATGGTATGAAAATAAGCAATTCATGACGGTCAAAGCAAAACGCATCTCCAAGCATTTTGAGAACGCTACATCTATAAATGAGACTATCCCTCAAAATGAAAGCCTCATCCAGCCCATAAAGATAATTTTACTTGTATAGTGTACCAACACCCCTTTTAAAGCTTTAAGAAAAAGTAGGAAAAAAATAAACCAATTATTTAAGAAGCAAATTTGTGCTAACTTACCTCAGATACTGTAGTTCAAACAGCGCTTTTCAGTAAGTGAAGCCAGAAAAACAAATAACTCTGTGAAGCATCTTTAAATGCTCGGAAAAGGCACCCATTGTTTAACAAATCAGTGTTATCAAACGCTCAAATCAGAGGCCCCAGAGGAGCGGGCCACTCCTTGACTATCCAGAGTTCATTGTTAGTGTGTAAGAGACGTCAGTGGCTAATTAAGAACAGCACCTCAGCCCACTTCTGACAGGCCCAGATAAAGAAGGCCGCTGTGATGTCCACAGTCTGATCCCAGGGGCGTTATTCTTTATACTGGACCAGCTGGGCCTGGCCAGACAACTGAAGTTTCTGTTCATCTGACTGTCCCATTCCATTGCATTGTGATCTATTTTTAGCTCCTGAATTCCATCGCGTTCTGCTCCTGCCAACGTCTGGAGAAAGTGCCCTGGTGAACAATATGTGTTCTTTCTAGCACTTGTCAGAGTAGTGTGCTGGTCTGCCATTAAGACTGTCTCTGTGACAACACTGTTTGTGCACTGAGACATGAGCCAGTGGATTTAAAAGATCTTCCCATAATGTACCTTAACACATTCAAATGCCTTCGATCAATGTTTAAAAGCAAAATGGGCTATATTTAAAACAATATTGGGAGATCGCTGGTGATTTCCAATGAAAAGTTTTAGTGTATTTTAAAGAGTCACATTTTCCCATATTAAGTGCAAATCAATCATTATTTACAGTACTTTCTTTTAATCACCTTTGTCATCTTGGAGCAAAGAAAATTTGCCCTTTGTGTTTATATTTGTTTTACTGTACATAAGTATTGTTAATAGCATTTGTTTTGATTGCTTTTTTGTATTTATTACCATTGTGGACCCACCTTGTTTTCCTTGACTGTTACTTCCACCATTTTGTGTCAGGTTACAGAACCTGATTTACCTCTGGCTTAAATGGAGGCTTACTTGTCCATCAAGAAGATTAAAGGGTGGAGTTCAGGGTGTTTAAAGGAGAACTGCACTTCCCAGACCAATTTCTCAGACAAGTTATTCAATCACAATTCAAATAAGTGAATTGATATTATGACAAAATTTGACAAATTCTGAGTTAAGCACAAAATTGTGACCTTTGTGAACGACCCCTGGTTGCGATGTGACGCAGCCCTTCCTGCTCACTAGTCAATGAAATGACAAATATAATGAGATGTACAGTACAAGCAAATACGTTCAGGTTGTGCAGCAGACATTTCAACACAGAAATGTTCCAATGTGATTAATAATAATAATAATAATAATAATAATAATAATAATAGCTATCAGTGGGGAGGCGAACAGAGCGATGAAGCCAATGCAGAAATGGGGATTATTAGGAGGCCATGACTGGTAAGGGCCAACAGAAAATTTGGCCAGGACACTGGGGTAACACCCCTACTCTTTTCAAGAAACACCCTGCCTTCCACCTTTTTAATGACCACAGAAAGTCAGAACCTCAGTTTTACATCTCATCCAAAGGTTTGCACCTTTATTCAGTATAGTCTTAATGCCCCATCACTATACTAGGGTATTAAGACTCACACCAACTGCAGGGTGAGCACCCCCTACTGGCCCCACTAACACCTCTTCCAGTAGCAATCTACTTCTTCCCTGGAGGTCTCCCATCCAGGTACTGACCACACTCACACCTGCTTCAGTAGGCTGCCAGTTGTGAGTTGCAGGGTGATATGGCTGCTGGCAGAGTTAGCAAGTAACTCCTCCACCACCAATGTGCAGCCCCACCTGGATGATGCAACGGCAGCCATAGTGCGCCAGTGGGGAGGAGAACAGAGTGATAAACCCAATTCATACAGTAGATGGGTATTGATGTATTTAAACTAGTTGGTAGGACAGCATGTTCTTTTAATTGTTTTGTCTTTTTTCCCTTCTGTAAACCATTTTCTGTGGCAGTGCACTTCAGTAAAAAGTCACTGTTTTTCACTGGACTTTATTTTTTCATCTGGCCTATATTCTTCTTGATGTCTATGACCTCCCCTGAACTTTGGGTGATTTAGTCCGAAATAAAAAATATCCTGATAATCATGTGATATACAGTACATACAAAACACAGATGCAAGAGAATAGAAAAGTATTTCAAGAGAAGATTTCAGCAGGTAAGCAAAAGAAGAAACAGGAGTGTTACTTCAATCCATCTTCGCCTCTGGTCTCCTCTACAGTAAGAAGGTAGTAGGTTGGGACGAGAGGGCTTTTTTTGTTGTAACCACATTCCCAAAAAGGTGTGGGAAGTCACTGGTTGTCCTCAGTCTCCTGGCCAATCAAAGGAAGACAACTGATTGGGTGATGGTGAAAACCAGGAAGCAGAGGCTTCCAGTTGGCCCTTATTCTCTGCCCCTTAAAGGGAGTAAAGGGAGTAAGGAAGTGAGTGAAAAACCAACGAGTATGTGGACACGTATCGTGAGTTTATTTTGGAAAAGAGTTTTGGAATTGTATGAGAATTTTGTTTTAAAGCCAGTTCTCAGATTCACTTCCCAGTTATTTATGGAGAGGACATTAGATTAAAAAAAGTGCAGGTAGAGCTCAACGAGGAGCTTAGATTTTGTTTTGATTCCTTGTTTTTACTCACATTATATAAAAAGAACACCTTTTACCTTGTTTATGTGTCTGGTTTGCCTGTTTTCAATACCTACTATGCCACTTGGTTCCTGGGTATATTGCCATAGCTACAGTATTACATTTTTAAGTACTGAATGTAGTGAATTTGTGGATATTAATAGTTCTGTTATCTCTGAGAAAGTTTCCTTTTATTAATTTACAATGCAGAGATGCTTCTCTTTCTTATTTGGATGAATTTTTGTACACAACCAAATGTTGTCTTCTAGCATTAGTTTAGGGTAGGATCAACTGTGGAAGACTTGCCATAAAATAAATAAATCCTAATAAGGATAAAATATAGTTTAAATCATTTATATTTACTAATGTAAAATAACATTTATGGTAATTTCTGTGTATGTTAAGTTGGTTAAAGCTAAATCTATTGGAAGAGGACAGAATTTATGATGATAGACTCTTGCTCTCACCCCTTTCATAAGGACTAATTTGAAAGTAGTAGTTTCAGTATCTTTATGTCTGCTTATTAGTTTGTAATGAGCATTTCTTTTAAGATATTACCCATTAATGTTTCTATCATCTGATAATTCATGGAAGATTAAGGAAGAAGACACAGTGCTCAGTACCTGACTACCAGGGGTTTTATTATGTAACCTTTTTAAATAATTCAACCCTGCCTCAGAACTTACTTACCTGTAAGTATTTTTAAACATTTATTTATAACAATATAATATTGATATTAATTGGCTAACATGGGGAGATTCTCAGATGAATTTTTGTTTAGAAATTACATTCATATATAGTATATTGCTAAACTTTACTGTGCAATATAGGCAGACTGCAGTTTTTTAGGTTTAATTTCTGTGAATGTAGATGGAAGCCTATGGATCATAATCCTATGGACAGCTTATGGACAGAAATGTTTTTCTGCATAAATTTGTGAAACAATTTGCTTGTGAAACACTTGATTTGAAACGTGTGATTAAGAATACTTTTGATTGAAAAAGTGTTTTGTGGTTCAAACTCCAAAATGTTCCAGGGATGCCAAATTTTTATGTTTATTAGAAACATTATCTTCTACAGGTTCACTATTTCATTTTCCTAGCCTACAGAAGATGTTTCTAATAAACATTAAAATCAATGACTGTTAAAGAAGAGTCCAAGAATTTTAGCGTTAGGGTTTTGAAATGCTATTATCCTCTATCAAATACTTTCACATAAAAATAAAATGCAGATTAATTAAATATCAATTAAAATATTAGTTATAACTTGGCATGTATTTTTGTTTCCACTGTTAGTAATAAAATGCAGTTATGAACACTGTTAAGATAAAACAAATGTTTTTTTTTGTGAGGATATTATAATTATTTTAAAACATGTGTGTACAGTAAATGTGTAACAAAAGGTGCATTTACAGTATTAGCTTATGAGTGAACAAATAAGCCTGAAACCTGACAATTAACAAGATAGTGTGTTTCATTCTGGTTCAAACTTGCAAATTCCTTCAAAACCATACAACGGATAATTTCCTTTACTTTAACAAGATAGAGTACGATGCATTTGCAAACTGTTTCCACCACATTATAAGAAACCGCTGAGTCATAGGAGTATGAATACAGTCCCTCTGCGCTCTAGCAAGAGACTTGGTTTTGACTTAAGCTCCGTCCTATTACAGACATCCAGCTGGCTTGGTGGGATTAAACATATGTTTGATACATTGCATATGGCAGGAATAATGTTTTAAAATTCTTCAGGATGTTTGCAAATGTCTCACTAGATCTCTCAGGCCTCACCTCATTCTTCTCTTTCAGCTTGGTGATCATGACAATGACTGGGGACTCCTCCTGCCAGGCCATCTGCCAGAAGTCATTAACCGTGTTGATCATGGGGCCCTGAGTGGCGATGTACATCTTCTCATCTCCCAGGTAGCCCTGCAAGGGGCACAGTTCAGCTTTCCTAACCACGTTAAAACTGCATTTCAGGCTCAAAACGGCCCTGTCAATTGGAAATGCACTGAAATAACGGAGAGCACCAGTTTTTGTACCTGCTTCCAATGGAAATTACAGCATCAGTCACGTGATGCCCTTATTAACCTTATTAATCAGTATTAGTAAAATACAAAAGCACAGATATTATTAAAGTAATGGATACACAAATTAATTGCAGCATGTCATGATGTTGTTGAGTTACAGTATATAAGCAGTGAAACCAGGATTTGACTTTAGTCCCATTTCATAAAAGCAACATTATACAATGTCTGCAATGGCTTGACAAGAACTGTTGTTTCTGAACAACTTCTATCTCATTATAACCTTTTCAAACATTTAATTTAATTCTTCAAACTCTGTAAGGCTGAATGTTGGTCATATTCTGTGATGCGATTTTAGTATTCTATTAATAACAAATTCTACTTGTGTACTATATGTAGGAGATATTGCTTGTCTACATACAGCATGTAACTTAGACATTATTAGTTTAAATCCTACCTCCCTTTTTCCCAAAAATAAAAGACAAGACTGAAAGGCACATGCCAAGGACTGACCATGCCAAAGACTTTTATCCATCTGAAATCAGACATTTCTTTTAGATCAAGATTAACTATTTCTTGATATGAGGAGTGCTGGGATCTCAGACGTGAAATTCACAATGTGTTTTCACAAGATCTCAGTGAGTAGCAAGATGTTTTAGGACAAATGAAGACAAATGAATAAAAGCGATGCTGCTCTGTTGTCGCCATTTTGTATGGTGAAACCATAATCCCTTTTTCCAAAAATCCCCCTTAATTTAAGATGATAAAAATAGATGCATCCTGGCTTTAAATCTACAGTGACACTTTGGATTTTCTTCTTTAGAAAAGGATTTTCTATGACTGTGACACAAAAAGCATCATACTTTTCATTGAAGAGGTTCAACATACCTAGGTTGTAAAGGAACAAGCAAAGATTCATTCCATGCTGAAAGGCAAATCAAAGAAACACTACAGTACAGTATGTTTCAGTTTTGGAGTCTGTAATGCATAAAGACAGCTCCACAGCTGAAACATTGTGTTTCATTTCTTTACCTTTCCACATGAAATGAACCCTTACCTACAGTATATTTTCAATTGTATCTGTGAACAGAGCTCTTATAATACTGGAATTAGATTTTAACTACAAAACTAGTAACACTGCACTCAAACTGCCAAGTTCAATGAAATCGTCCGCTAGTCATACTTAGATCTATAAATACTTAGGGCTGTTATAAAACTTCAGCATGGTGATTGTTTTATGAAATGCCGGTTATTAAAATGACCTAATTTAATTTTTTTTAAATAACTGTCATCCTCTAACCATCATGATTAAAAACAAAACACAAAACAAAACACTAGACAGCATAACCTTCAGGTTTTTGTGTGTGAAGAGTATGACACATAAGTATATGACTCGGTAAAAACACACTGTAAAATTATTAAACTGAAATGTTTTATTGTTCAACTCTGTTTATATTTACTCGCAAGGCCTATCACCATAGCTACTGTATGTACAGTATATCCCTCACGGATGTGAGTTTGTTATGCAGAGGTGTACTATTGGTTCCATAGATTCTGACAGGACAAGATGATATATTTCATTATATTTTTTATATTTTATATTTTAATGTGAAACAACATTTAATTTTAAATTTATTGAGTTAGAAAAATAACACATCAAATGTATGGATCTCAAAATTTCAAACACTCTGGTCTGTTTCATCTTGGTAGAAATGTTTGGGCTGTATACTCAGTTTAAATGTTTTTTAAATCAAAATTACAAATCAAGAAAGCTTAACAGATTAAGAAGCAAATAACTCACTAGTAAAAATATAATGACTTACTCTGATGTAGTTAGCATTTATATAACTGCTGAGAGGGTCATATATGTTCTTGGTCTTCAGACATACTCTAGAATGTGGATCTATAAAAATAAAATAATAACATTTTTTAAACATCAATTGAACAAGCTGAGAAATTCTACAACAATACTAAATAACATTTACTTAACATTGACGGAAAGAAAAAGAATAGCTCAATTTGAGTTTTTGTGTGTAAGATGAAAAAAAAAACATCACCTTGCTTTTACTACAGAGTTCTGGTCTTTCAAATCCCACTTTATTTACACTTCCCTCAGACAGTAAATGTTTTAAAGAAGGAAACTACACCCACAAAAGGAAGAAATGGCGTGCCACCTTCTGTGTACATGAGACAAGAGAAACGATGATCACAGTGAACTGATGAACTGCAAAAATAAGAAACGTGTGGCCAAAATTATTAGCTCTAACGTGTGAACAAGAGCAAAATGTAAGACCTACCTAACATTTGCTTATCTTTTCACTTCTTGTTTATGCAACAGAGTGGTTTAGATAGAGTACTTAAAGAACAATGATTTGCAAGGCTTTGGAGTTTGTTGTAATGTTCAGGGAAGGAACAATGCTGTACAATTATTGATAACTGAATTCCTTTTCCGCAATGTGAGAAATGTATGAGCCAAGAAGAATGCGATAACGCTCAGATATAACAGCTCCAAGTGATTATACAGTATAATAAAGTAATTTCTTCAAAATGGGTAAGTAGTGAGGACAGCTTGTTCTGCCTGCTTGGACCGTACCTAATTTTATTATTCTTTTTACCCTCCTAAGCCAATGGAAAGAACACCTCATTTCACACACATTAACCTTGAACTGCCTGTTCTTGTGATGAGTGCAATAAAGCTTTTCCTTCTTGTCTTTCAGTTCCCTGCAATCTGGTCTGGTTCACAATCTTTGCAGCAGGAGGACAGGAAATCTCCCATTCCTTCACAATGCACAGCAATAATTAGTGATTTCCCTGGCCAAGCAGAGCTGAAGCGACCTTGAGATACACCCAGCCCTGCAGCCTGACCTTTGCTGAGATGACCTTCAAGGCACTGTCAGTTCTTTTAGCCAGCTTCAGGGAAGCACCAGGCTGAAATGTAGAGATGCATGGATTTCAAACTACAAGTGGCTTTTAGAAGTGGATTATAATCTTAATTGACAAAAAGATCATACTCTCTGAAAATGGACATCCTACACGAGATGCTATTGAATACCCTCTGCTCCTGCAACCAACATAACTAGTGGAATAAGTGGACATATTGCTTTATTTATTTTTCGGAGATTTAAAACGAGATGTCAAAAGCAGATGATATTGTTAAAAGCCAATTTGATTAATTTCAGATTATAACTCTAAATCTCCAAATAAGACATACTACTCACTTTTTTGACATCATACTCACAAACACTCCTGACAAGTACCAGCCTGTTGCTTTTCCTAAGGATCCTGATCATCATACTCATCATCATTATCATTAAAATAAACTCATTTTTCTGTTTAAGCAAGTATGTGTTTTTTAAAAAAAGATTTTGGATGTTGATTCAATGTTTTGGCATTATTTCGTTTAGCTGATCATTCATGACTGATCCTGATACTTCACGTGACTTTGCCTGCTAGATTAGCATTGTGTATACTGTAGGTTACCTGTAGATCAGCCTACTAATCGTGAAGCCTGGTGAAAATTAATAAAGAAAAACATTGAGTAAACATTATGCCCTGCTTATCAAGATAACTCTTTTGTGTCAACAGTGTAACATGCCAATCGAACTTAGGTGGACTACCCAGCAGTGGAGTGAAGTCCTCTTTAGACATAAGGCAAGATTCTGTGTAGGGCACCCTGGCAGACATCCGAACATGTGGATGTGCCGAAAGATATGACAATTGCTGTATCAGAGGGGAGGTCTAAGTTTTATGGTCTTAACAGTCATGTCTAGTCACTACAAAAGTCCACTTTTAGTGTTATTTAGCGAATGTCCCTGAGCCAGGTGAAAGCTTCTGGTCCAGCTGTGTTGAGGGTGTGGTCCTCTCCGAGCCTGTGGACTGGGCAGTCCTCTAGGATGTGCTGAATAGTTTGCCCCATCCTACAGGAACACAGAGGGCCTGAACGAATTCCCCATCTACTGTATAGAGGCTGGAAAAATATGGATCATTCCTAAAGCAATTTAGAGTGGATCATTCCATTCTTGAGAGGTGAAAGCCGAGAAGTAGTTGGGCAAGGCATGTAATGAGGTGCTTGTTGAAGTCTAGTAATTCCCAGCCCAGGTGGAGTCCGTATTGAAGTCTGGTTGGGGAGGGTGCTTGGAGATTGTCTGTTTAGAAGGCAAACATCTCTTTAGGGAATTCAATATGTCCTCATGTAGTGGCAGGTGGGGAGTGTTTTGGATCTTTTGGAGCATTGTTTGGGTTATTGCAAGTTTTTGGATCTGTGGAGGAGTGATATTTGCATGGATGAAGAGCCAGGGGAAAGGTGCAAGCTCTGCCTAATTTCTTGCTGGAACACCAAAATGTGACTGCAGAAATGGTAGCAAGTGTGCTCCCAGAACATGACCAATGTAGACCTTTTAAGATCTGCTTTCCAGAAGTCTTAACAAATTGGAGCAATTTTAAATGTGGCAATTGCTGGTGGCTGTTGAATTCCATTTGAATATTTGAGAAAACCTTGCCTTAGCCTTGCCAGTGCAAACCCCACCCCATGACATCTTACAGGAAAACCCAGAGCTTAAGAAATAAAGGCAAACAAAGATGACACTCCAGAGCCAAGTATAGGTGGGATCCTTCAATACATACGCTGATAGCTAGGACGATATCCAGAAAGGTTAATGGAGCAGACAACTCTAAATTGCACTTCAAATTATGACGAGACTTTTTAATGAGTAGTATGATCTTAATTCGTATCAATGGCAAAATACTGTACTAAATTGTTTCTGCATATACTGTAAAAACATAGTTACTGTATATCTACAGTATAATGACTCACTTTTTCTTGTTATCTGATATCACATTGATGGTGTCTGAAAAGACAGACCTTTCACTGCCACTTACATCTACTATTTAGGATATTTATTTTAACCAAAACTGCCCCATAGTCTACTAAGTTTGTGAATTTCCCTTTTTCCTGGCCCCTCCAGCCTTGCAAGTTATAAGGACACTTGCTGTCAATCTTTTGATTTGTCTGTGTCTGTTTTTCGCTCCCTCCATTGCGCACTGGTAGTTCAATGTATTACATTTCTCTGGTCATCAGGCAAGTTTGAAAGCCATGGAAATTTGCTTCAAAGGTGTAAATTTACCAAGAAATAATATACTCCTATGACAAATAATACTTATCTATTGCTTCAAAAACAGCAAACGTCTGCTTGGGGGTCTCAAAATGTGGAGTACATTATGTACTGCAAGGAAAAGTTCTTTAAGTCTCATCACTGACCATCACTATGAAAATAATATTAAGTAAAAAAATGAAAAAGCAGTCACTGATTTAAGGTGGAACAATAGACTATCTACCTTCCCCAGTGCTTACAAGAAAAAAGCTATGTTAAAAAGGACTGTACGAAATAATTGCTTTAGAGGGGTGATTTGTATATGAACACAGTAGATGTTTAAGGAATCCAACAGCTAATCAAAATCAAAAGTCCTATTAGCAAGTCCAAAATTGTTCTGCATGACTGGTGTCATATGTGCCAGCCAAGTTTCAGTTAAACAAACCTTGTAGAATCACATGTCCATATGTATATTTTATTTACTTGATTGCGACAATACTGATAAGCATAGGTTCAGTTTCAGTATGTACTGTAGGAGTTTTCTTTAAGAACATGTGCCTAAACTACAAAACTATTAAACAAAATACAAAACTGAAACATCAAAAAACATAACTCTGTAACTCAGATGTTTATGAAACTTTGTTTTCAGTATTCCTGTGTTTTTGTGAGAACACTGTAAAATAAAGTTGCCATGCTATCATTAACACAGCACTTACTTGGCAATATGGTTTTGTATCTGTTTTTAGTTCCATGACTTGGAATATCCAAATCTTTTGGATCCACAAAATTCATTGGAATTTCCTGCAACACAGACAAAAATCCTTAATTTAAATGACACAGCTTTCTTTCAGTGAATGGGGAAAAAATATTTAAAAGACGACACATAAATGATTGATCCCAGCTGGAGGTTTTGTGTTCTTGCAAGCTAATATGAACACACGGCTGGAATGGTCCAGAAATTCATCTTCTGTGCATGGACACCGCTCGGGGATATTTTATCCTGATGATGGACAAGACCTGAAAAGCTAACAGTTCCAGGACCTGCTAGAGAATGCAGATCCAAGACCTGCTGAAGAGGGCATCACATACTACTGTAAGCACTCCTATTGCAGGTACACTCACACTTCCGTTCCAGAACCTTTCTATTGAATCAAAGGACAGTCTATTCTGGAATGGCTTGTTTACATGTGTTTGAAGGAAAAAGGGAACTGCTGACACACTGCAGTGATGATGGCATTAACAAACACCATCATTTGAAAATTACATCAGGAAGCTGACGAAGATGGTTGGAAAACATTTGAAATCTTATCTTATTTTACTAGGCAATCTTACTGCAATCATGTCTACATTAAGATGTAGTAGGCTCACACAATGAGGAGCTATCTAGAAACATATGGAATAAACTGTTTCAAGCACCTGAATCAAGGCAGTGCTGTGATGATGTTGTTGGTAGCATTGCCCATTGGGTATTTATTTCAGTCTTTCCAGGACACATCTTGGATCAGATCCTCTCATAGTCTTTGCTTTTCAAGACTAAAAATGCTCAGTTCCTTAAGCTTTTCATTGTAGGACCTTCCTTTAAGTCTTGGAATCTTATTGTTCTTCTTTGGACTGATTCCAGAGCAGCAATATATTTTTTGTCATGTGTACTTGGTGACCAATATGCCATAATACCTTAAATGAAGTTTTAGCTGTGCCTTGTACAATATTAACATAACATTGTACATTTTAAACAGTTTGCCCTTTTTATTGCCTTCCTACATTGTCTAGAAGATGTACACGATGGTTCAACAAAACACCTACAGTATTTTCCTGAAGTTAAGTTCAATGTATTTTTGCTACCTTCATGTAATTAATTCTTGGAATTCTTCATTTTTGTGGGCATCTCAGCCCATTCCACCATTCCACACCTCCTGCTTGAGCTGAAGCAGTGATTAATAGCAGAAGAATACCCAGTCCACACGAGTTTGCACAAACGAAAAAGTTATAGTTTTCGAAATCACCTGCGGCTGCAAAATGGAGGACATGCTGCATGGGATGTGAAGACTGCAGGGAACTGAGGTGTACAGAATGGATTCGTATCATTTGGAAGTGACCGCACGTTACTGCAGACATTACCACAAACTCGGCGTGCAGGATCTGTGTGTTGGCCACAACTTCGCGGAGCTGCTTCCTCGTCAGGGTGCGGCTGGCTGTCTGCAAGTACTCCATGGCTACTCTCTCGCGGGGGGTCTGCCCACTGCTGAGGGGCTCCACGTTCCCCAGGGAGCTCATGTCCAGAGTCAGAGACACATTGGAGCCTCGCCTGCAGGAAACACAATATACAGTACAGGGAGAAGAAACACAACACTTCTCCGCTGTCCTCTGACATCACAGAGCTTTCACATGTCAATAAGTAGAAAAAGTCCAACGTGTAGAGAAACAGCACTGAAGCTACTTTAAAAGTCTCCAATGAATAGATCCATAAGAGGCCTATAGTACAGTAATTCTGTTTTGGAAAAGTCCATTCAGAGATTTAATACAGTAGACAAGTGGTGTTACTTTGTGGTAAATGTGTCTTAACAGCTCATTAAATAGGACCTTGAAGATGATGATTGTATATTAACACATTAAAATGCTTCCCAACTTCTAGAAAAAAGCAATACTAAAAAAAACCTTGACCATTTGTTAAGAAATACGAACGCTGAGCAAAGTACTGTATGCACTCCACAGAAGTGAACACGTAAAAAAATGTGTTTACTAAAGTGGTTATTAGCAATATTTGTGAGGGCTCGCTCCCATAAAAAGAGAAAATTGCAAGATCAAAATGAAATAGGTTAATACTTCAAAACATTTTGGCACAATCTTATGTGGTACATATATTTTCTAAAATAGCCATCAACAAAAAATATGGTTTCTACTCAGACTAAATACAATTACATATTATGAAAACTAAATTACAATATCTTGCCGCATACAGTATGTTATTTTTAACATTTTTAAAAGCAAACAAACAAAACAGTCGGCATTAAAAGCATGACATTCACTTTCACTTCTAAATGGTTTAATTCCAGTTTCTTTTTTAACACATCACTTTTCACAAGTTAAGGTACAGTATACAATAGACCAGTTGAAAACATTTTTTCTTATTTACTGCTATTTGAGTATAAGTGTGAGCATAAATTACTGAACTGGATTGTGTTTGATAAGGTCACTTTTACGTACAGACACTGTTACAGTTTGGTAATGAAGTGAACTCTTTTGTGTGGTACTTTTTTTAATTTCTGAAATAGAAATCTTCACAATGACTCCTGAATACAGACTCCATCAAAAAAAAAAAAAAACGCCAGCTGTCCTTCACTGCAGAATCCCTCACCCAACAACTCAATTTATCATTTGCTGGCCCTGTTCCAGGTTTCACAAAATTAATCTTCTGCTCGGACGTGATGAGAAAAAGAGATTCCCGCTTCACAGAAGAGATTTTCCAATTGTTTACTTAGGCCCAATCAGTTCTTTAAATACTCCCTTCAATGTTTATTCAGAAAGCTCCTAGAGCGGAACACCCTCCAGGTCTCTGCCTTTCACTTTTATAAGCCGGAATCATTTTTTCTACTATCCTCCGAGAGCTTTTGGCCTTTCACCTCCACCGTGAAAACCAGAGAGCCATTTTGCACCCCCCCTCCTCCCCCCTCTTGGCCTCTTCCCTGTTCCCCAGGGGTCGGTTACTCGGCTGCCATTCAGCTATCTGCTGAACTGCAAGTACATACAGCCCTGCAGGTGGAAGGAAGACATTAATTAGCTGTACAAGAACAGTACTGGCTGAGAGTGTGGGATTGGAATATCAATATCACCTCCAGGATCAGGCCCTCTCTTGTAGACCAAGCCAAGTTAGAGGAGAAATGACAACTGCTGCTAAAGACATTTAATTGCGTACAATACACTACAACTGATCATTATATACAAATATACAAAACACAAAAGACAACAGTAATACAAACAGAGAACAATGGTGGAACGAAGTATATCACAAGCATACAGCATGGCATATCAACAGCTTTAAGATGAATTGTCAAGTGGGAAAGTACAATACAAGAACTTTTTAGGAAAAGATATTTAAGGATGGACCAGTCCTGGAAGAGCTCTAAAAAACTGACAATAAGCAGCTTTTTGGTTACTGGTTGCAAATTGAAACTGCAAAATCTGGCACCCGCTTGATGTCTGAATCAGGCAGTATAGTATATTTATCATAGACTATGCAAAAGTCTTAGAAACATTAGATACAATCAGGAGTGACGAGATGTAATATTGGCATGTTTACTCAGAACCATTATGGTAGGATTATATAAAGTACTTTTCGATTTCTTTTGCTCTCACTTTATTATTGCAGATAGCAGCAAACAAAACTGAGAAAAACCTACTCTGGGAAAATTAAATTTAATAACATAATGGATGATATTATGCATTTCTGTTACCCTATATAGTTTTCCCATACATAGAGTACATAGGATTTGTATACATACAATTACACAACATTTTAGGAACTTTAACTGAAGGTCACATAAAATGATCCATTAGTATCCTATCACTACTTTGTCAAACATGCCCCAGATCAAGAAGGGCTCCATAAGGCAACTGTTTTTCTAACCATTGCCATTTCCAACCACTGTACCTCAGAGAGGGCTCTCCTTCTTCCTACCTGTGCTGAAAGATTAATGTTGAAGATAATTTCTAAGGCGTTCTCTGATGTATTAGGTGCCATCCATAATGTAATTAAGGAGCGATCAATCATTGAGAGTTTTTAATAAAATGTCATTAAAGTGACTCTAAGATAAGAGAATCCACTAATATTTATAGTACTGTTTCAGCCAAGCATCTCCAGCACGATTTTCCTGCAGGCTAGATTTAATCTTAATGCCATTCAGTATGGTTTGTTAATTTACTGTGCATGAAATCTTCCAGATTGGAAGAAGCAGCCTTTATTATAAATAGTCTGCGTTCCTTGAAATGTGTGGCAACTTTGTAATCTGAAATAACTGCTGGACAGCAGTTGAGTTACCTCCCAGAAATCCTATGGCATGATCAAATTTACGCTCTTTATGTAAATTTGACATTTTTCATCCTCAATCCAGCCTTTCCAGAATACAGGTTTATTAACAAGAATCAATAGATTTGGATCATACTATCATAACAGCTTTGGTTTTTATTAATACAGTTTGGGAGAGAAGAATACAAAGCTTGCCATTTAGCATGGTCAATCTTAAACTCACATTGAACAGATTATTCAAAAATCTGACCACAACATTGCAAAGTAACCTATACACGCATAGTAAACATGTAGTGTTCTAGTAACTACATCCTTCACCAATTGATTTGACTCATTCTCAGGTGTTCCATGTCAGTGATATAATTTATTTATCTCTCCAGTCATAAACTACAAAGGTAAGTTTTCATGCTGCAAGATACAGGCCTTTCAGGATTAATTGTTCTAAAACAAAACAAAATGACTACATTTTAGAAGAAGATCACTATAACACACATATAAAATGGAGTTCCGAAAAGCATCTACGGGAACTATTGATTTAGCCATAGTTTTCACAGCTCTACTCAGTGATGACTGAATGTTTCACTCAGTTGAAAAACTGGAATTTTGCTACTGTGCTGATCCTTGTTAGCACAGCTACTGACTTTAAAAATGATTGTTTCTAATGTTTTGCAGAGTTCTATCCACTATTATATGCTAAACATGTATAGTCGACAAATGCAGTGAGCATAGCATTGGTTGAGTGTTAATTTAATTAACATTAAAAATGAACTATAAATAGACATTTATTTTAGTTTATAAAAAGCTACGAGTAATCAGAATTGCTAGGAGAACCGCTCCAATCCTTGTTCTTTACTCATTGTGACAAAGGCATTTCATGCTCAGCAAGTCTGAGAGTGTTGAGGAAGTAGGCTTGACAAGCACTTCTGGACTAGACTTTAAGCAATCAGTATCTGGTGGGGACAGGAACTATCCGGCATCCTGTGGAAGAAAACAGCTGACATAGAGCCATTCCAACCTTTCCCTTTTAATCAGGCTTTCTAATGTACTGCCAATGCCTCTGTTCGGCTAATGATAAGGGCTAGTTCAGTAAATCCACTGGTACTGACTTTTTGTAGAGCTTATTTACACAACTCTGTTTCTTGCTCTGGGTAGATTCCCTGGGTAGATGCTTGTTAGCATGCAAGGCAGGGGTTAGAAGGTAAACACAGTCTCAAAACATACTAGGAGCAATGTCTGGATTTGACTGCAATAAACTAGCACTAGCATTTTACATTTAAAGTTAGTTTTTAAATGGAGACTACTAAGACCCAATAAACATTTAAAAAACTATGTTTGTTGTGTTTTTGAGTTGTTTTTACTAGTGATAATTATTTCTCTCTTAACATTGCGATTCGGAATTGACAGCTGCTGTTTAACCTTGCATGCAGAAGGCACATACAGACCTTCTACAATCAGGACCATCTCTTTGACTGATGGTGCAACAGAAGTATTAAGCCTAGAATCCCCCAGTCACTCCAATATTCTCAGGTTTTGCTGTGTTTTGCCCATTTAACACCATCTCTCTTACAGCAGCGTATCATCCATATATAATTCCTTCTTCTGCTTCCTTGAATAAAGGGACATGTTCAATGAAGACTGTAACTGGCATTTGGTATTTAGTAAGTTATGCATTAGTTATGCATCAGATCACTTTAATCAGAAGAGGAGTGATTTGTTGAGGTCTTTTAAACCTTAACAAACAATTTCCTGTATTTTGCTGTTTATCCATTTCCATTTCATAAGTTATTGATCCCACTACCCCTGCCATACAGAATAATCAAATACTGTATATTACACAAACGGTATACATCAATCAAGTGGAAAATACATAGAAGTATATTTAAAACTAAGAATAGGAGCTTTTTTATACAAATAAGGTGCTACCCTGGTTTCATGCAAGAAATGGCTGGAAGCAAATTTACTACTGTACCTATTGGGCTAGATGGGTCAAATGGTTTCCTTTTGTTTGTTCTTAATTATTGATTCCACTACACATGCTTGACAGAGTTCTGCTGCAGATATCACTGTGAACTTCAATGACCAACATAACGAATTTGTCCATCAAGATTAAGTTCTAAAAAGATGTATTGTCTCCGTGTGATAAGCTGTGCACAGGAGAGACGGACTGGCTTTTTGTAATATTTAAAGTATTTACTCTTACTAGTGGGCTTTTCAGCTTCATGTGACATGAAATGGTGTTCTCCAGCAATCAGCTTTGGAAAGCCACTTAAGTATCTATTTTA